CAAATTTTACAATAGTAGTAATAGTAGTTTACAATTTTTCGATTTCTCAATTTTTCGATTTTTCAGTTTTGGAATTTTTCAATTCTTCAATATCTCGATTATTTGGTTTTCTTATTTCTCGATTTCTCGACTTTTCGACGTTTCGATGTCTTAATTTTTCGATTTTTCCGGTTTTTGATTTTTCAAAATTACCATTGTCCGATTTTTTGACTCTACGACTTTTCAATTTCTCAAGTTTTCAATTTTTTGATGTTTCAGATATGGGATTTTTTAGATTTTCGATGTTTAAACTTTTGATTTCTCATTTTTTCCATATTTCAGTTTCTCGATTTTCAATTTTTCAATGTTTCGGTTTTGGGATTTCTAAGCTCTTCAATTTCTCGGTTTAAATTTTCGATTTCTCGAATGTTTTATTTTTCGATTTGTCGTTTTTCCGATATTTCAATTTTACATTTTCTCTATTTTTTTGGTTCTCCAATTTTTCGATTTTTATATTTACTCTTTTCAAATCTTCAATTTCTGACGTTTCCTTTCGATTTGTCCATTTTTCGAATACTCCACTTCTGGATGAATAGATTTTTGATTTTTCAACTTTTCGATGTTTCAATTTCTCAATTTTTCAATTTTTCGATTTCTCAATTTTCGATTTTTCGGCCTTTCGATTTTTGAACTTTCGATTTATCATTTTTTCCATATTTCAATTTTGGGCCATTTTCAGATTTTTGATTTTTCAATTTTTCAGTTTTTGGATTTTCAATTTTTGGATATTTCAGTTTTAGGATTTAGTCAATTTTTTCTCGGTTTTCAGATTTTTCAGCTCTTTTCATTTTTTGATTCTTCAATTTTTCGATTTTTAAATTTTTCCTTTTTTGCAGATTTTCAATTTTTGGCATTTCAAAATTTTCGATTTGTCGAATTCTTGACCTGTCGATTAATCAATTTTCAACTATGTATTCAATTTCTCGATTTTTAGATTTTATGATTTTCTCATTTCTCGATTTCTCGACCTTTCAGTTTCGATTTTTCAGTTTTTCAATCCTACAATTTTTCGATTTGTCGATTTTTCGAATTCTCGACTTTATGAATATTTACTTTGACTTGCAATGTCACTTTTAATTATATCATTCCATTAATATATTTTTTTTGTTTTTCAACTTTTCCATTCTCAATTTTTGGATTTTATAATTTTCCCATTTCTCAGTTTTTCGACGTTTCGGTTGCGATGTTTCGGTTTTCAATTCTTCAATTATTCGATTTTTTCTATTTTTTCACTTTTTAAGTTTTCCTTTTTTGGAGTTTGCGATATTTTGACTTTTTACATTTTGGATTTTTTCGACTCTTCCAATTTTCGATTTCGTAATTTTTTGATGCTTCAGTTTTGAGAGTTTCCAATTTTTTGACTCTTCGATTTTTGGTTCCTTCATTTTTCGATTCTTGGTTTTAGATTTTAGATTTTCCAGTTTTCAATTTACGATTTCTCGGTTTTTCAATTTCTCGATTTATCGAGATTTCGATATTTCAATTGTTTCAATTTATCGATTTTTAACATTTAAAATTTTTGAATGTTAAAGTTTTCGTTTGGGTTATTTCGATTTCTCAATACTTTCATGTTTCGATTTCTCGATGTTCCAATTTTTCAATTATTCAATTTTTCTATTTCTGGGTTTTTCCATTTTTAGATTTTAGGATTTTCCAATTTTTCGATGTTGTGTCTTTCAAATTTTCGAGTTTTCAAATTCAAATTTTGTAAATTTCATTTTTTTCGAATTCTTTTTTATTTTTGACTTTTTCGATTTTTTAGTTTTTCTATTTTACAATTTTTTGACTCAACATTTGCGTTTTTCTGATTTCTTGATTCGTCAACAATTTAATTTTGGAAGTTTTTAAATTGCTGGATTTTTCAATTTTCGATATTCTTAGATTTCAGATTTTTTGATGTTTCCCTTGTTCGATTTTTCGACTTTTTGGATTTCGAGTTTTTCAATTTTTTTCGATATTATAATTTTTCGATATAATACTTTGGATTTTTTAAACTTTTCGATTTCTCGTTTTTCCGATATTTCAGTTTTATGATCTCTCTATTTTTTGATTGTCCAATGTTTCGATTTTTATATTTTTCTTTTTTTTCAAATCTTCAATTTCTGGCGTTTCTAAGCTATCGGTTTGTCCATTTTTCGAATACATACTCGACTTATCGATTAATAGATTTTTTGATTTTTCAATTTTTCCATATTTCAATTTTGGGCTATTTTCAGTTTTTTTTTGTTTTTTCAATTCCTCGGTTTTTCAATTTTTCAGTTTTTGGATTTTCAATTTTTGGATATTTCAGTTTTAGGATTTAGTAAATTTCTCGGTTTTCAGATATTTCAGCTCTTTCCATTTTTGGATTCTTAAATTTTTCGATTTTTAAATTTTTCCTTTTTTGCAGATTTTCAATTTTTGGCATTTCGATTAATCAATTTTAAACTACATATGTATTCAATTTCTCGATTTTTGAATTTTATGATTTTCCCACTTCTGAATTTCTCGACCTTTCGGTTTCGATTTTTCAGTTTTTCAATTTTTTTGATTAATAGTGAATCAACGAAGACGACGCTTTTGACTTTTAAATTTTTTGACTTGAAATCTTCCATTTTTTGACTTTTCGATTTCTCAATTTTAGGATTTTTCAACTTTTCGATTCTTCAGTTTTTCAATATTTTAATTTGTCAATACTTATTTTAAATTTTAGACTCTTCATATTTTAAAAGTTTCTCAAGTTGTTGGTTTTAGATTTTTCAGTTTTCAATGTAAAATTTCTCGATTTTGCAATTGATGATTTCGATGTTTCGATTGTTCAATTTCCCGATTTTTCAATTTATTGATTTTTTATGTATTAAATTTTTCAAGTTTTAAATTTTCTTTTGGGCTATTTCGACTTCTCGATTTCTCAATCCTTTATGATTCGATTTTTCGATGTTTCAAATTTTCAATTATTACATGTTCGATTTATTCTATTTTTCCGATTTTTCGAATTCTGGACTTCTCGATTAATAATTTTTTTTTGAATTTTCAACTTTTGCATTGTCAATTTTTGGATTTTATGATTTTTCCATTTCTCAGTTTTTCGACTTTTCGGTTTCGATTTTTCAGTTTTCAATTCTGCAATTTTAGGATTTTTTCTACTTTTTGACTTTTTAAGTTTTCCTTTTTGTTTTTGAAGTTTTCGATATTTTGATTTTTTGAATTTTGGACTTTTCGACTCTTTGATTTTTCGATTTCTCAATTTTTTGATGTTTCAGTTTTGGGTTTTTCCAGTTTTTCGACTCTTCGATTTTTTGGTTTCTTCATTTTTCGATTCTTCAGTTTTTCAATATTTAAATTTTTCGATACATATTTTAAATTTTAGGCTTTTCGATTTCTCGATTTTTCCGTTCTTCCATTTTTTATTTTTTCGATTTTTTTAATTTTTCGACTCTTGGTTTTAGATTTTCCAGTTTTCAATTTACGATTTCCCGGTTTTTCAATTTCTCGATGTTTCAATTTTTGTATTTCTGGGTTTTTCGATTTTTAGACTTCAGGATTTTTCAATTTTTCGATGTTCTGTTTTTTCAGTTTTTTTCAAATTAAAATTTTTGAAATTTCAGTTTTTTCTAATCATCTTTTTTTATTTTTGACTTTTTTGATTTTTTAGTATTTCTATTTTACGATTTTTTGACTCAACATTTCCGTTTTTCATTTTTAAAATTTTTTGACTTTTCGATTTCCCGAAATTTTTCGATTTCTTGATCCCTCAACAATTTAATTTTGGAAGTTTTTAAATTGCTGGATTTTTCAATTTTTCGATTTTCTTAAATGTCAGATTTTTTGATGTTTCGATTGTTCGATTTTTCGACTTTTTGGTTTTATATTTTTTAGTTTTCGATTTTAAAAATTTTTGATTTTTCGAGTGTTCAATTTTTCGAATGGGCTATTTCGATTTCCCCATGTTTCCATTTTTCAATTATTCCATATTTCGAGGTCTCGGTTTTTCGATTTTTCGGCTTCTCGATTTATAGATTTTAGGATTTTCCAATTTTTTGATGTTTCATTTGTTCAATTTTTAGATTCTTCAGTTTTCTGATTTTTCAGTTTCGGTTTTTTAAATTTTAGGTTTTTCGATTTCTTGTTTTTTTGACTTTTCAATCTTCCTATTTTACGACTTTTTGATGTTTCGATTTGTCCATTTTTTAATTTTTAAATGTTTTTCGAATTTCCGATTTCACGGTTTTTGCATTTTAAGACTTTTCAACTTTTCGATTTTCGATTTCTCGTTTTTTTAGTCTTCGATATTTCTTAATTTTTTAGCGTTTCAATTTAAAATTGTTCGATTTTAGATGTTTCAGTTTTTCAACTTTTTTAATTTTTCGAGTTCTAATTTTTTTTTTATTTCTCGATGTATGTACTGGTTTTTATTTTATATAGGTTATCAAAAATTAAAAATTACTTTTTTTTCAATTTTTCAACCAATTTTGTTAAACCTGCCTTTAAGAACTTTATTTTTTTTTCTATTGCCCCTTAAAGCTTCCTGTAATTGGACTTGCAGCTTGTTGGAAATGCAATTATTATTATTATTATTATTATTGTTCTTAATCACCTATGGTTCGCGAGCTCTAGTCAGACGTCAAAATGGTACATTTTCGAGCGCCGCGAGCCGCCGCCGCCGACTTCGCAGCATGCCTCAAGTTCAACCCCCGTCGACCGCGCGCTCCAAATCACGGCGACGAAGTCGGCGATCAAACGATTTGATTATCCGGCTGAAGAATCTCAATTTTCTTAATTAAAAAAGTAGACGTTTGGAGTTCCTCCGGCACAACCACGCTAATAAAGCGTAATGCCTCGATATTTATTCGCGCAATTTAAAATTATAATTGCGGAGTCTCGGCCGGTGTTTATAATAATTACGTGTGGTTTTTTCTTCCTCTGCGTGCTCCGCCGAGCATGATACGGCACGGAAAACTGAGAATTTTCTTTCGTTCCAGGAGAACTTGTCGACGGCGGAGTCGGCCGAGGCAGCCGAGGAGGAGCACTTTTCCGGTGAGTGGTAGCTAGAGTCATCCCATCAGGCTTAACCATCGTTTTTGTTTGGAGTGTAGACCTAACACTACAGTGACATACGGTCTATTTCTGGATTGAAAAGCTACTGCTGTGGCTTTTCGGTTCCGAGGTAGCGTTTACCTTGCGTCTCCAACTAGGGCAAAATTTACGCTTTGTCAAGTAGCAGGGTTGGTACTACATCCCAGGCTTAGCCCACTTTGACGAAGTGGGCTAGGTTTGCCCTAGTTTAGTGTAGTTGTTAATCTAGTATGTAGGCCAACCCTGCTAACCGTGATATGATTGGCTGTGCAGGAACCGGGGCTATGAAAGACAGCGACAAGCTCAAGCTGATGCTCTTGGCGTGGAACTACCACAATCAGGCTCAAGGTAACACGACAATACACACACCGACACTGTTTTCTTTTATTTGGGCGATCATCCACCCATCTACATCCAGAACAAGGCGCAGTGGGTCCGCCCCCTGTGCCGCCACCTTCCAGTACTCACTCCCGTCTTTGCAGGCAACCGGAATGGCGACATTCCCGACCTGTCCCAGGTGCCCGGGGGCGAAGAGATGGCCGGCCTGTGGGCCCAGTACCACTCCGCTCTAGGCCTGGCGAAGGGGAAGGCCACACCGCCCACCAACCGCGATCAATCTGTGAGTACCTTTTCGGGTTCTTTTGTTCCGCGTCCTCGAGGAGCCACTCGAACCAAGCCTGTGCACTTTTCCACTCGGCGATTTGGAATTTAGATTACTTCCTCGTATGCAGCTGTTCGCAGCGAATGATAAACTCCGTGTCAAGTTCACAGAGCGTTTCTTTCACATAAAATTCCTCGATAATTGGCCGCCGCCGCTTTTGGTGCGATAATGCGACGCTTGACCGTTTTCAGAGTCCAGTCAATGCTGATACGGGGTCGGCGCATGACGAAACCAGCTCCAGCGGGAACAAAGAAGACGAAGACGACGATGACGACGAAAGCGACGACAAGATCGACACACAAACGCACGACCCTGAACGACTCAAAGCCTTCAACGTAAGTGTTATTAGGAAATAATTGCGGATTGATTGGTAGGAGATGGAAGCGCGGAATGTGAGGCCTCGCGCGATCGGGGGCAGATAACCTCGAAAACGGCGGTCTATGGGGGGAAACGCGACCGATAAGGCCTGCATGGTGGAATGCGTCCGGTAGGGGGCCGGGCACATGTAAACTGCAGCGGGTAATGAAATCAGAAACCAGCCCTAAGGAGGGTCCACTCATTCACATGTAATGATTACTGGAAATTACTCGAAACTTATTTCTTTTCGGTCTTAGCAAATCTGAATCGGTGATCCCATTGGTAGCGGGGATGCTTAGCCAAATTTTGGTTAACGTTTTAACATCTACATGATATTCCTAATACACATTCCAAATTTGACAACAATCGGTCCAGTAGTTTCGGAGATTATCTGTCTAATAAAAATCCGGACAGATGGTAGACAGACGGAAACGGGAGACCTATTTTTTCGTACTCTACAATGATATTTCCAGTAATCCCCAATAAATCTTGATATGAATTGCTGGAAGCTTCCGACAAAGAGCACTTAAACAAAATCGCTATAAACAAAATTATTTTGGACTTTTGCAGTATCTTTAACTAAATTTATAAAGTAAAATTTTTAGAAAAAAATTGGTCGGAGGTTATTTCGCCAGAAAAACCAACAAATCCCGCTTTTTTGAAAAATTATAAAGCAATTTTTGGGGTTTTTGTTTTCGGATAACCTCTGTAAAGCTAAAACAAGTAGCTTAAATAATTCTCCCGCAGCTTTTTTTGAGTTGAATTTTTCATTTTTTTTTGTTTCTTCAGGTTTTCGACTTACAATTTTTACTTTCAAGTTTAAATTTTTCACTTTTTCAATTTCCCAAATTTCTATTTTTAATTTTTAGATTTTGGAACTTGTTTCTTCGAGTTCTCATTTTTAAATGTTTGAGTTTTTCGATTTTCGTTTTTCGATTTTCCAACTTTTGGATGTTTATATTTTCTGATTTGCAGTTTTACAATTCTTCATTTTTATGTTTCGGTTTTTTATTTTCTTTATTTTTTCAGTTTTTCGTTATTCTGATTTTATCATTCTTCTCTTTCGGTATGAAATTTTAGATTTTTTAATTTTTCGCTTTTTTCAATTTTGATTTAAGACTTCCAGTGTTCATATTAAATAATTATGTAATAACAATTTAATGTTTAAAATTTTACACGTTTTCAATTTTACCATTTCAGAATTTTTCAGTTATTGGACTTTAAAACTTTTCATATAATCGATTTTTCAATTTTTCGATTTTTAATTTTTGAATTTCTCGATATTTCTCTATAATTTTTCGATTTTAGAATTTTTGGGTTTTCCAATTTTCCGATTCATCAATTTTTTTCGGTTTTTTTATTTTCTTTATTTTTTAGTTTTTCGGTTTTTCAATGTTCTGATTTTATCATTCTTCTCCTTTCAGTACGAAATTTTTTTTTTTGGATTTATAAATTTTCCGGTTTTTGAAATTTTAGATTTTTTAATTTTTCTTTTACGATTTTTTGATGTTTCGATGTCCCGATTTTTAAACTTTTTTGTATGATTTTCAATTTTTCGATATCTCGATTTTTCAATATTTCAATTTTGGGAATTTTTAATTACTGGATTTTCAATTTTTCGATTTTTCAGTTATTCGATTTTTCAATTTTTCTAGTTTTCATATTAAATAATTATGTAATAACAATTTAATTTTGTAAAATTTTACACTTCTTCTTTTACACTTTTCCAATTTTACCATTTCCGAATTTTTCAGTTATTGGATTTTAAAACTTTTCATAGAATCGATTTTTTAATTTTTCGATTTTACAATTTTTGGATTTTCCAATTTTCCGATTCATTAATTTTTTTCAATTTTTATGTACATATTTATTTCGATTTTTAGTTTTTCAGTGTTTTAATTTTTCGTTTCTTCAGTTCCTAGATTTGCAATTATCATGTTCAATGAATACTATGTATATTAAAAAAAAAGTCACAATATAAAAATTTTTTGATATCTCGATATTTCAACATTTCAATTTTTATATTGCTGAACTTTTCAAATTTTCGTTTTTTTAAATTACAGATTTTTCGATCCTTCATTATTCGATTTTCGATTTTCCAACTTTCAGTTTTTCGATGTTTTAATTTTTCAATATATATTTTAGATTTTAAACTATTCGATTTGTCCATTTTTCAGTTCTTCAATTTTACTACTTTCCAATTTCTCGATTTTTTAAATTTTACATTTTTCGGTTTTTTGTTGTTTGAATTTCTCGATTTTAGATTTTTCACTTTTCAATTTTTCGATTTTTAAAATTTTTGATTTTTCGATTGTTCAATTTTTCAAATAGATTTTTCGATGTTTCTGTTTTTCGATGATTCGGCTTCTCGATTTTTCTATGTCTAGGTTTCTCGATTTTTCGATTTTTTTAATCGGTTTTTCGATTTTTCAATTTTTCCGTTTTAGGATTTTTGGCTTTCGAGTTTTCGGTTTTTCAGTTATTCGATTTTCGATTGTACAATTTTCGATTTGTCAATTTTCTATTATTAAAATTTTACACTTTTTCAATTTTACGATTTCAGAATTTTTCAGTTATTGGATTTTAAAACTTTTCATAGAATCGATTTTACAATTTTTGGATTTTCCAATTTTCCGATTAATTAATTTTTTTTCAATTTTTTTGTACGTATTTATTCCAATTTTTAGTTTTTCAGTGTTTCAATTTTTCGTTTCTTCAGTTCTTAGATTTGCAATTTTTATTTTCAAGTTTAAATTCTTCAGTTTTTCAATTTCCCAACTTTTTGATGTTTCAATTTTCAGATTTTGCGATTTTTTGATTGTTTAATTTTTCATTTCTTCAAATTTGCAATTTTTCGTTTCGATTTTTGATTTCCTTTATTTTTACAATTTTTCGAACTTGCAATGTTCTTATTTTATAATTTTTTGTTTTCCGTATATAAATTTTGATTCATTAATTTTTTTAAATTTTTATGTACACATTTATTTCGATTTTTAGTTTTTCAGTGTTTCAATTTTTCGTTTCTTCACTTCTTAGATTTGCAATTTTTATTTTCAAGGTTAAATTTTTCAGTTTTTCAATTTCCCAACTTTTTAATGTTTGAATTTTTAGATTTTGGAATTTTTTGGGTGTTTAATTTTTCATTTCTGCAAATTTGCAATTTTTCGTTTCAATTTTTTATTTCCTTTATTATTACAATTTCAATTTTTGGATTTGCAACTTTTACAATTTTTTCTTTTTTTTTGATTTTGCGAGTTTTCATTTTTCCTTTTTTCAAATTTTTTCGATTATCCAAGTTTTGAGTCTTTCAATTTCTCGATTTGCAATTTCACGAGTTTTCAGTTCTTAGTTCTTCAATTTTTCGATTTGCATTTTTTCGTTTCAATTTTTTATTTTCTTTATTTTTTCTGTTTTTCGGTTTTTCAGTGTTTTGATTTTATCATTCTTCCTCTTTCAGTATGAAATTTTTCAATTTTTGGATTTATACAAATTTTACAATTTTTCGGTTTTCAATTTTTGATGTTCCAATTTCCCAATTTTTAAATTTTTTAGTATGATTGTCAATTTTACGATATCTCGATTTTTCACCATTTCAATTTTGAGAATTTTTAAATTGCTGGATTTGTCGACTTTTTGGCCTTCGAGTTTTCGGTTTTTCAATTATTAGATTTTTAAAATGTTTGATTTTCGATTTTCCAGTTTTCGATTCTTCAGTTTTTCCATATTTTAATTTTTCGATATATGTATATTTCAGATTTTGAACTTTTCGATTTCTCCAATCTTCAGTTCTTCAATTTTACCATTTTTCAATTTTTGGATTTTTTAATTTTCGATTTTTCAATTTATCGCCGTTTGTGTTTTTCGATTTTTCGACTTCTCGGTTTTAGACTTTTCAGTTTTCAATTTTTCAATTTAAAAAATTTTTGATTTTTCGAATTTTCAATTTTCCGATTTATCGAGATTTCATTGTTTGAATTTTCGGTTAAATTTTTAGATTTTTGGGTTTCTCGATTTTTAGATTTTAGGATTTCCCAATTTTCTTCAAAATTTCGATTTTTCAATTTCGGTTTTTTAAATGTTACATTTTTCGATTTCCCGTCTTTTGGATTTTGCGGTTTTGCTATTTCAAGATTTTTCGATTTCCCCGTTTTTTAATTTGTAAATATTTCGATTTTTTCTAATTTACGATCTCTCGATATCTCGATTTTTTCATTTTTAAAATTATTTAGCTTTTCGATTTTTCAGTTTTCGATTTCTCAATTTTTCAGCATTTCAATTTTGGGAATTTTAAAATTGCTGGATATTTCAATTTTTCGATTTTTTGAGTTCTCGATTTATCGACACTCGGATGTTTTAATTTAACGATGTTTGATTTGTCGAGATTTCACTACTGGTTTTACTTTATATAGGTTATCAAAAATTAAAAATTACAAATTTCATATTAATATGTATTTAATAATAATTTGTTATTTTAAATTTTACACTTGTTCATTTTTACGATTTCAGAATTTTTCAGTTATTGTATTTTAAAACTTTCATATATTCGATTTTCAATTTTTGAATTTCTCGATATTTTACAATATTTCGACTTTACAATTTGAAATTTTTAGAGTTTGCAATTTTTCGATTATGTATTTAATTTTCCATTTTTTATTTCCTTTATTTTTACAATTTTTGGATTTTTCAGCGTTCCGATTTTATAATTTTTTGTTTTTTTCAATTTTTCGTTTCTTCAATTTTTTGATTTACAGTTTTACAAATCAAAAATTAAATCACGAAAAAGTATAAAATGATAAGTTTGAAAAATCTAAAAATTGGAAATCAAGAACTCGAAAGATTAAAAATTCAGAAACTTAAAAAACGAAAAAGTGCAAAATTGAAAGAACTTAATATTCTGAACCGAAATATTGAAAATTAAAGAAATCGGAAAATCGGATAATTGAGAAATTCAAAAATTGCAAAATTGAAAAATGGAAGATTGAAAATTTGAAAAATTATAAAATCGAAAGAAACATTGAAAAAATAAAGGAAATGAAAAAACGAAAAATTGTTATATTAAATTGAGAAAATAATAAATAAAAAATCGGGAAAATGAAAGATAAAAATCAAGATCTTGGAAAATTGAGGAAACGAAAAATTGACAAATCGAAAAATTCAAAAAACTTATACACTCAAAACTGGAATTGAAAAATTTAGAAGTCGAGAAATTGACGAAATTGACAATTAAAGTTAAAAAAGCGAACAATTTTGAACCCAAACATTGAAAAATGGAAAAATTGAAGAATTAAAGAAAACGAAAACACGTAAAATTGTGATATCAAAAAATTGTAAAATTGAAGAAAAAGGAAAAACGATAATTGCGATACCCAAAAAAATTTGATAACAATCGGTCCAGTAATTTCGAAGATATTTTCTGTCTAATAAAAATTCGGACAGACGGTAGACAGACAGACAGACAACCAGCAACTGGTACCACCTGCATACTGCTGCAGTTTACATAGACCTTTTCGGACCCTGCGAGCCGTCCGCCACAGTTTAGCGTTTTTGCCTCAAAACATGCGTCCTCCATCTTCGCGAGCCTCGAATTTTTCTCCGCCGACCTTCTAAAACCCCTTTTTTGCAGATGTTCGTCCGCCTCTTCGTCGACGAGAACCTGGACCGAATGGTGCCGATCAGCAAGCAGCCCAAGGAGAAAATCCAAGCAATAATCGATTCGTGCACGAGGCAGTTTCCGGAGTTTGCGGAAAGAGCCCGGAAACGAATCCGCACTTACCTCAAGTCGTGTAGGAGGAACAAACGTGCCCGAGACCCCAATTCACCATGGGATGCGGTAAGCTGCTCCAATTCCAGAGGGCTCCAATACGGTTGCCGCTTTCAGACGAGGCCGACCCCCGCGCACTTGACGTCGGTCCAGGCCGAGCAGATCCTAGCGACGGCATGCGAGAACGAGAGCCACAACGCGAAAAGAATGCGATTAGGCCTGGAACCGGTCAGCCAGCCGATGCCCATCCTGCCGGGGGCCCAAGTAAGTCTCCGAGACTTTCACGGGACGCCTCAGCAATGTTTGCGTTTGCAGCCTACCGACACCACCGCCCCCATCAACCGCGGCATAGATTTCTCCAACAACACCCCCGTCAAAATCGAGGTCGATTCCGTCTCGGCGGCGTTCCCCTCGTCGACGACCCCCTCGACCACCCCCAACTCGGTCTCGAAGGGCCTGTCTTTGACGCCCGACTTGAAAACATCCGCCATGAGGTACGCATTTGAAATTTTAATGCTTTCAGAGCCATCCCGACCCTACAGCCTCTGATTCTTTAAACTCGCCAAACCCCGCAGGTTTTTCGATAAGGTTAACGTATTCCGCAAAATGCACGTGCCTTGACGAGCAAAACGCATACATTTTGTCTTAGTGCATGCGAACTTTTATATGATAACACTGATGTTACGGAATTTTGATTAAAATAAAGGTCGATTTATAAACTTGCCGCTAACGTTGATGTTGCCGTTGGGTTTTCAACCAAATTGGGGTAGTGCCCACTTAAAAGAAAATCCCCTGGAGTAGGGGGGACATTTTTTTGGTTGACAGCTCTAATTCCACGAAAGTCAAATTTTAAATAGCTGCCATCATTACAGCTACAAGGGCTTACATTTTGCCATTTTTTTTTTAAATATATGTAGAAAGATAAAACATGTTTAAAGAGGAAAATTTTTGTAGGAAAGTATCGATTTTTCAATTAGGCTCCGCCCTTCGGTCTGACAACGAATGAAAAATTCATCACAATTGAGCTTGGGATGGATATAGGTGGGGCTTAATTTTTGGCTTGTTTTTTTTTTTAACATACATAGTTTTCTTTAAATAACACGATACTCCAAAACATATTTTTATTTCTTGTAGAGAAATCAGCATTTTGCAATTATGTTCCGCCTCTCGGGTTACGACAAAAAAAAAATCGTCAGAATTGAGACAAGGCGGCTGGGCGGGGCTTATATTTTGCCTTTTTCTTTTTCTTAATGTATATAGCCATCTTTTCACAACAAGAAACGTAGGACATGGTTAAAATGGTACATTTTTGCAAGGAATTATGGGGCGGAGCCTAATGGCAAAATCGATATTTCCTTATACAAATTTTCCATTTTAAACATGTTTTAAGTTTCATGTTGTGAAAAGAAGTCTACACATATTAAGAAAACAAGGCAAAATGTAAGCCCGCCCACCCACCCTGTCTCAATTGTGATGAATTTTTTTATTCGCCGTGAACCAAGAGGGCAGAACTTAACTGCAAAATACTTATTTCTTTACTAGAAATTAAAAACATGTGTTTGAGTATCGTGTTGTTCAAAGAATACTATGTATATTAAGAAAAAAAGTCACAATATAAAAATTTTTTTGATTTCTCGATATTTCAACATTTCAATTTTGGAATTTTTAAACTGGTGGATTTTTCAAATTTTCGATTTTTTTAAATTATACAGTATGTCCCCGGATTGAGTTCACAAGAGGAAAAAAACTGTATTTTCTATTTCACAAAAAAATGACATAGGAATAACATTTTTTGCTTAATTCTTAAAACTTCAATATTCCTGGTCTGTACTCTTAAATACATTTTTTCATATTTCTAAGTTCTTCGTTACTTTCAGTTTTTTTCGATTTTAAAGACACAGCCTAATAATTTTAATTGCAGATTTATTCGTTTTGAATTAAGGAAAAAATGTTATTCCTATGTCATTTTTTTTGTAAAATAGAAAATACAGTTTTTTTTCCTTTTGTGAACTCAATCTGGGGACATACTGTAGATTTTTCGATTCTTCAGTTTTTCGATATTTTAATTTTTCTATGCATATTTTAGATTTTAAACTTTTCGATTTCTTCATTTTTCAGTTCTTCAATTACCACTTTTCAATTTTTCGAATTTTTTGATTTCACATTTTTTAGTTTTTTGTTGTTTCTATTTCTCGATCTTTGGAGTTCTCGGTTATGGATTTTTTAGTTTTCAATTTTTTGATTTTTAAAATTTTTGATTTTTCGATTTTTCAATTTCCCGATTTATCGAGATTTCGACGTTTCGAATTTTCGATTATTCAATTTTTCGTATGGGCTATTTCGATTTCTCGACTTCTCAACCTTTCATTTTTCGATTTTTCGATGTTTCAATTTATTTTTCAATTAATAGATTTTTCGATGTCTCGGTTTTTCCATTTTTCGGGTTCTCCATTTTTAGATTTTAGGATCTTCCAATTTTTCTGTTTCTTCTATTTTTCCATTTTTCAGTTCGGATTTTTAAAAGTTAGATTGTTCGTTTCTTTGATTTTTCGGTTTTTCAATTGTTTCGAGTTTACGATTTTTCGATTTCCCCATTTTTTTAATTTTTAAATATTTCAGTTTTTCAAATTTTCGATCTCTCGATATCTCGGTTTTTCTATTTTGAAAATTATTCACCTTTTTGATTTTTCGATTTTTCAGTTTTCGATTTCTCCATTTTTCAGCATTTCAATTTTGGAAATTTTTAAATTGGTGGATTTTTCAAATTTTCGATTTTTTAAATTCTAGATTTTTCGATTCTTAAATTATTCGATTTTCGATTTTCCGATTTTCGATTCTTCAGTTTTTCGATATTTTAATTTTTTTATGCATATTTTAGATTTTAAACTTTTCGATTTCTTCATTTTACAGTTCTTCAATTACCACTTTTCAATTTTTCGAATTTTTTGATTTCGTATTTTTTAGTTTTTTGTTGTTTCAATTTCTCGATTTTTGGAGTTCTCGGTTTTAGATTTTTTAGTTTTCAATTTTTTGATTTTTAAACTTTTTGATTTTTAGATTTTTCAATTTCCCGATTTATCGAGATTTCGACGTTTCGAATTTTCGATTGTTCAATTTTTCGTATGGGCTAATTCGTGTCTCGACTTCTCAATCTTCCATATTTCGATTTTTTGATGTTTCAATTTTTTTTTTCAATTAATAGATTTTTCGATGTCTCGGTTTTTCCATTTTTCGGGTTCTCAATTTTTAGATTTCAGGATTTTCCAATTTTTCGATGTTTCTTCAATTTTTCTACTTTTCAGTTTCGATTTTTAAGTTAGATTTTTCGTTTTTTTGATTTTTCGGTTTTTCGATTTTTCAATTGTTCTATTTTACGATTTTTCAATTTTCCCATTAATTTAATTTTTAAATATTTCAGTTTTTCAAATTTTCGATCTCTCGATACCTCGGTTTTTCTATTTTGAAAATCGTCAGGTTTTTGATTTTTCGATTTTTCAGTTTTCGATTTCTCGATTTTTCAGAATTTCAATTTTGGGAAATTTTAAATTGGTGGATTTTTCAAATTTTCGATTTTTTAAATTCTAGATTTTTCCATATTTTAATTTTTCTATGCATATTTTAGATTTTAAACTTTTCGATTTCTTCATTTTTCAGTTCTTCAATTACCACTTCTCAATTTTTCGAATTTTTTGATTTCGTATTTTTTAGTTTTTTGATGTTTCTATTTCTCGATTTTTGGAGTTCTCGGTTTTGGATTTGTTGGTTTTCAATTTTTTGATTTTTAAACTTTTTGATTTTTCGATTTTTCAATTTCCCGACTTATCGAGATTTCGACGTTTCGAATTTTCGATTGTTTAATTTTTCGTATGGGCTATTTCGATTTCTCGACTTCTCAATCTTCCATCTTTCGATTTTTCGATGTTTCAATTTTTTTTTCAATTAATAGATTTATCGATGTCTGGGTTTTTCCATTTTTCGGGTTCTCCATTTTTAGATTTTAGGATCTTCCAATTGTTCGATGTTTCTTCAATTTTTCCATTTTTCAGTTCGGATTTTTAAGTTAGATTTTTCGTTTTTTCGATTTTTCGATTTTTCAATTTTTCAATTGTTCTATTTTACGATTTTCCCATTTTTTAAATTTTTAAATATTTCAGTTTTTCAAATTTTCGATCTCTCGATACCTCGGTTTTTTTATTTTAAAAATCATCCAGCTTTTTGATTTTTCGATTTTTCAGTTGTCGATATCTCGATTTTTCAGCATTTCAATTTTGGGAATTTTTAAATTGCCGGATTTTTCAAATTTTCGATTTTTTAAATTCTAGATTTTTCGATTTTCCAATTTTCGATTCTTAAGTTTTTCGATATTTTAATTTTTCTACGGATATTTTAGATTTTGAACTTTTCGATTTCTTCATTTTTCAGTTCTTCTATTACCACTTTTCAATTTTTCGAATTTTTTGATTTCACGTTTTTTTGTTTTTTGTTGTTTCTATTTCTCGATTTTTTGAGTTCTCGGTTTTGGATATTTTAGTTTTCAATTTTTTGTATTTTAAACTTTTTGATTTTTCGATTTTTCAATTTCCCGATTTATTGAGATTTCGACGTTTCGAATTTTCGATTATTCAATTTTTCGTATGGGCCATTTCGATTTCTCGACTTCTCAATCTTCCATCTTTCGATTTTTCGATGTTTCAATTTTTTTTCCAATTAATAGATTTTTCGATGTCTCGGTTTTTCCATTTTGCGGGTTCTCCATTTTTAGATTTTAGGATTTTCCAATTTTTCGATGTTTCTTCAATTTTTCTATTTTTCAGTTACGATTTTTCAGTTTTCTATTTAACGATTTTTCGATTTCCCCCATTTTTCAATTTTTAAATATTTCAGTTTTTCAAATTTTCGACCTCTCGATATCTCGGTTTTTCTATTTTGAAAATCATTCAGCTTTTTGATTTTTCGATTTCTCGATTTTTCAGCATTTACATTTTGGAAATTTTTAAATCGCCGGATATTTCAATTTTTCGATGTTTCAATTTTTTTTTTCAATTAATAGATTTTTCGATGTCTCGGTTTTCCATTTTTCGGGTTCTCCATTTTTAGATTTTAAGATTCTCCAGTTTTTCGATGCTTCTTCAATTTTACTATTTTTCAGTTCCGATTTTTAAAAGTTAATTTTTCGTTTTTTGATTTTTCGGCTTTTCGATTTTTCAATTGTTCTATTTTACGATTTTTCGATTTCCCCATTTTTTAAATTCTTAAATATGTCAGTTTTTCAAATTTTTGATCTCTCGATATCTCGGTTTTTCTATTTTGAAAATCATTCAGCTTTTTGATTTTTCGATTCTTCAGTTTTCGATTTCTCGATTTTTCAGTACATATTTCCATTTTGGAAATTTTTAAATCGCTGGATATTTCAATTTTTCGATTTTTTAAATTTCAGGTTTTTCGATTTTTCAGTACATATTTCCATTTTGGAAATTTTTAAATCGCTGGATATTTCAATTTTTCGATTTTTTAAATTTCAGGTTTTTCGATTTTCTGATTGCTCGATTTATCGACACTCCGCTCGTAGGTTAACAAAAATTAAAAATTACAAATTCCATATTAATATGTAATTTCAAAATTTTTCATTGGATTTTAAAACTTTTTCAGATATTCGATTTTTCAATTTCCGATTTTACAATTTTTCGATTTTCAGTTTTTCAGTGTTTCAATTTTTCGTTTCTTCAGTTCTTAGATTTGCAATTTTTATTTTCAAGTTTAAATTTTTCAGTTTTTCAATTTTCAACATAGTATTCTTTGAACAACACGATACTCAAAACATATTTTTTATCTTTTGTAGAGAAGTAAGGATTTTGCAATTCAACTCCGCCCCTTTGGCTCACAACGAATAAAAAAATCATCACAATTGAGATAGGGCGGGTGGGCGGGGCTTATATTTTGCCTTGTTTTTCTTAATATACATAGCCATCTTTTTACAACAAGAATGGTACATTTTTGCAAAGAAATATGAATTTTGCAATTATCGGGTCGAGCCTAATTGCAAAATAGACATTTCCTCATACTTTAAACATGTTTTCAGTTTCATGTTGTGAAAAAAGTCTACATATATTAAAACAAAAAGGCAAAATATAAGCCCCGCCCACCCGCCCTATCTCAATTGTGATGATTTTTTTATTCGCCGTGCACCAAGGGGGCGGAGCTTAACTGCAAAATATTTATTTTTTTATAAGAAATTAGAAACATGTTTCTGAGTAGCGCGTTCAAAGAATACTACGTATATTAAGAAAAAAAAAAGGTGGGCGGGTTTTATACCCAGCCCATCTCGATTGTGATGATTTTTTTTATTCTTAGAAAGTTGAAACACGTTTAAAATGGTAAATTTTTGTAAGGAGATATGGATTTTGCAATTAGGCTCCGCCCCTAGGTCTGCCAACGAATGAAAACCTCATCACTATTTAAATCAGGGCGGGTGTGGGTGATACTCGAAACACATGTTTTTAAATTCTCGTAGAGGAATCAGGATTTGCAGTTGAACTCCGCCTTTTTGCTTCACGACGAATAAAAAAAAATCATTACAATTGAGATAGGGTGGGTGGGCGGGGCTACATTTTGCCTTTTCTTTTTCTTAATATGTGTAGACTTATTTCGACAACAGGAAACTTAAATTAAAATAGTAAATTTTAAGCTATAAAGGCAACCTCAGCGGGAACTTCAACGCCAACAGCAAGTTTATAAATCCCACTTAAATGATTCACTCAGTAACAATTCCTAATATATGTCCAGAATGTTTTTAGACAAATTTAGTAATTTGGTTGGCAACGAATTTCTTATATCCAAAGATCCCTAATGAAAAATGAATTTAAGGTTAGAAAATCTGACAAAAACTATAATACTGTTGCCAGTAATTTCACACTTTGTATTTTCCATTTAAAAATAGCACCTTTTATTGAAATTTTTGTTGTAACGAAATTATTTTTGGCATTTTAAATTTTAATGACAGAAGAAGAAAAAATTTCACGGCTCAATTTTGTCTGAAAACATCCTGCCCTTCGGTGAGACAAGGATCCAACTTGGGTCCCCGTTGTTTTGTGTTATACATAGACGACCTGCTTTCCTGCTTTTATTACACTTAAGTTATCCTCATTTACCCGTTATTATTTATGTCGTATGCACAATTGCTTGTCCAAATATGGAGTTTCGACCCGTTGGGCAATAAAGCGCTTATTACTATTAATTGCGCCTGTTTCAGCGTATCGAACGCGGCAGCTTTGGGCGCGACGGCCATGAATGGCATAGGAATCTCAAGTACGGCCGGTTCGGCGCCCACGGCGATGTACAGGCCGAATTTTTCGCAGGCGTTCCAGAGGGCAGGACCGTACCCGCTGTTCCCAGGGGCGGCCCCGTTCGGCACGGGGGCAGGCTTACTTACAAATGGTGAATATACTTGTCGATTCGACGCATGCTTAGTCCCGCGCGATTTTTGCCAAAGAACTTAACTGAGGGTTGTTTAGGTCCAGCAGACCTGAGCATGAAGCAGAAGCCTCTACTCAACCACAAGCTGAGCACGGGGGAGATGGCGGCGGTGCGGCAACTCATCACCGGGTACCGCGAGTCGGCCGCGTTTCTGCTGAGGTCGGCGGACGAGCTGGAGCAGCTGCTGATCCAGCAGCAGTAGACTGTTGCCATACTGTGTACATTACAAAGAAGATAGAGTATTTTATTCACTAGGCACGAGTGATTTTAGCACTAGTACTACTGTTGATTCACTATGCATTCATTACTTGGACTGTTGTAAACTTTGTAAATATAATTTTTACTTATGGATTTTTGCTACTTACGACGCGGAAGGAAGATGCTGAATTTATGTACAAACAAGTTTCCTAAATAAGTGAAAAAAATATTTATTTATTAGAAGTTAGAAGAACTATTCTATTACTACAGGGGAAATTTTATTATATTTGATATAAATGTTGAGAATTTATTGTATGAATTGACTGTACCAAAGACAATTGTATATAATCTTTAAAAAGTCGCCGATGTTTTGTAATTATGAGTATTTTCAAAAAGAGGATGAAAATGATTTAAGAGTGTGCTGTCTTTCGAGTGATTCCAAATCGAACGGTCGGGGGTTCCCCAAGACAACTCTCGACGGACTTACTATATTTTCTAAGGGATCCTCCTTGAATTTTTATAATAGGAACTCATATTTTCTATTATTTGAAAGAGTTGAATAGAATTTTAAAAAGTATTTCTGTGATTGTTAGTAAGTGTGTAGATATACTGAAAATCAGGAAACATCTTACAAATTTTTGTAATCTATGTATCTGTTCATGTATATTTCAGACATTCCAATGTATTTCTGAATGTATATAATTAAATTGTATTTTGATCTGAAATCACTGCCAGATTTTGTGTATCAATAAATAATGTCCGCATTATTTTATACCTTTTTTGTTTATTTTGTTTGTTATGTCAGTACTAAGCACTCAATCCAGGTAGGTATCAGTTCATTTATTGCACGTATAATAGCACAATATATAAACCTAATTTTTAAATGACGTTAATCACTTAATGAACACAGAAATGTTTTTCTCATTAAATTAAAATTATATCAATGAAGAATACTAGAGGCATGAATGAGAGCAAAGGATGACAATCTAATACCTTAGCACTATTTATTATGGTCTACATTAAGAAAACATTAGCTATAAGAATAAAAATAATACAAAATAACGAGTTTTATTGTCAACATTTTAATCAACAAACCGGTCAGCCGTGTAGTTTACCGGTTGAGGCACCGTAGACACTTCCCCCAACAACAAACCTAAAAAGACTACCCTCAGTTTTAATTTTAATCACCTGAAAAACCACTCTTGTGTACAGGAAATGTCCACAGACACCACTTCCGGTCATTCCAACGCCAAATTCCCCCCATTTTCGCCAAAAACCACCCTCCCAGTCGCCACCAATTCAAAAATGGCGCCTCCCTAACCTCAAAACTTGACACATCAACATAACCTAAAAACCTCCACGCTTCTGTCCACAAAAACTAAACTGCGATAAAACACAAAAAACAACCCCATGGTCCACTCCCCCTAAAAATGGGCAAGTTCTCCCGCGACCGACGCGACATTTTTTACCGTAAAGCAAAAGAACAGGGATGGAGGGCTCGCAGCGCCTTCAAGCTTCTCCAAATCGACGAGAAATTCAAAATTTTAAATGGTAAGCACTCATTAGGTGTTTTTTTAAGTGTTTCTATGGGTGTTTGAAGGCGTGACGCGGGCCGTCGATTTGTGCGCCGCCCCCGGCAGCTGGAGCCAGGTTTTGTCACGCCGACTATATCTGGGCGAGTACATTGAAATCCGGCCTAAGAATAAGCTGTTTTACACCGACAATGAGGACTACGTTACGAGGAGCACGGTGGAGGTGGTGGAAAAGAAGGCGAGGAGAGAGGACGAAGACAGCGAGGCCGGGACCTCTCAGGGGGCGGAACTGCCGGTAACACCGAAGAAGAACGAGAATGTTAAGATCGTGGCGGTGGATTTGCAACCCATGTCGCCGTTGCCGGGGGTGATACAGATACAGGGGGATATTACAGAGTATAAGACTGCCGAAGCTATTATTAATCACTTTGAAGGGGATAAAGCGGATTTGGTTGTGTGTGATGGGGCGCCAGATGGTAATTATTGTCACGAGTTGGGTATTTTTATTTATTTTGTTGTTTCAGTTACTGGGTTGCACTGCATTGATATATACATTCAAGCACAGCTTTTGTTGGGTGCTTTGCACATTACTTGTAATGTTTTGAAACCCAATGGGACTTTTGTTGCTAAAATATTCCGTGCTAAAGACTGTGATTTATTGACAAACCAGCTGTTGATGTTGTTTGAGGATGTGGTGACTGTTAAACCTACCAGTTCTCGGACGTCTAGCATTGGTACTTTTGCATTTTCTGTAATGTGTGATGATTTATTGGGTTTTTATAATTTTAGAAGCGTTTGTTGTATGTAGGAATTATAAACCACCAATGGGGTTCAACCCGAAGTTGATAACCCCGTTTCTGGATGTTAGTAATAAGGATTTTTCTACTCTCACGGGCGTAAATAGGGTCATTATACCATTCTTGGTGTGTGGGGACATCAGCGCCTTTGATTCTGACACAACATATCCTCTTCAGGTAGGTATTCAAATATTATTTAGAAATGATACTTAGGTAAGGTGTTGGCATGATTTATATTTAAAGAATGATTCTAAAACGCGCTTTTGACAACTTATTATATTTAAAAAAATGCGTATGACGTCATCTCCTATAGTAATGTGTGACGTCACAATGCGTAGATAGCGATTAGCGCTATTACAAGCAACTAAACAGCATTAATACTTTTAAATTAAGTGTATTTTTCGGTTTTGATTAATATTTTGATTGATTAAATCTGAAAAAGCCGCAAAAATTACAAATAAAGTTAGGTTAAGTTTCATCGGATATATCGCCAAATATTTGTGTTAAAGGTAACAAAATCGCAATATAATGTTGTACTTACCGTTCTGAAGCAAACCAGCTTTGTTTTTGAGAGTTTATATTCAGTTTAAACACATTTTTGATGCACTTGCTTTTCGAACTTGTCTTTTCATTCATATCAGTTAGGGAATTTTAATAGTTACTAAAATGTTACCAAAAGTGGGGCTCTGGATGAAAATAGGTTTTCAAGAAAGTTCAATTATAGTTGAAATTAGCTAATTAAGGGCAACGATTTAAGAGGGTTGGGATCAAAGAGTGATCTTCGAAGGTATTTTCCTTATTATATTAAAAAAAAAAAAAATGCGTATGACGTCATCTCCGATTAAGATGTGACGTCATACTGCATAGATAGCGATGTTACAAGCAAGTAAACGGCGTTAATGTTTTTAAATTAAGTGTATTTTTCGGTTTTGATTAATATTTTCATTGATTGAATCTGGAAAAGCCGCAAAAATTAAAAATAAAATTAGGTTAAGTTTCATGGATATACCGCCAAGTGTTTGTGTTAAAGGTAACAAAATCGCAATATTATGTTGTACTCACCGTTCTGAAGCAAACCAGCTTTGTTTCTGAGAGTTTACATTCAGTTTAAACACCTTTTTCATGCACTTGCTTTTGCAACTTGCTTGTCTTTTCATTCATATCACTTAGGGAATTTTAATAGTTACTAAAATGTTACTAAAAATGGGGCTCTGGGTGAAAATAGGTTTTCAAGAAAGTTCAATAACTCATTAAGGGCAACGATTTAAGGGGGTTGGGATCAAAGAGTGATCTTAGAAGGCGTTTCTGATACCTTATTATATTAAAAAAAAAACCGCAAAAATTAAAAATAAAGTTAGGTTAATTTTAATCAACCAAGCAGTGTTGCCAGAATTAAACTTTTAGAGCTGAAAATTACTCAAGTTGTCGTCGATAGTAACTTTGTTATTCAACTTTCGCCGTATTTAAAGGGGTTGTATAAGAAAAGTGGTGGATTTAAGTTGATCACTATAAAAATTTACCATTTTAGACAAGTTTCTTGTTGTCGAAATAAGTCTACACATATTAAGAAAAAAATGGCAAAATGTAGCCCCGCCCACCCGCCCGCCCTATCGCAATTGTTATGATCTTTTTTATTCGTCGTGAGGCAAAGGGGCAGAGCTTAACTGCAAAATTCTTATTTCTATGTATACGAGAAATTAAAAACATGTTTTTGAGTATCCTGTTGTTCAAAGAATACTGTGTATATAAAGAAAAAATTAAAGCCGTAACGTGAAAAATTGAAAAAATGGGAACATTGAAATGAAAAATTGAGATTTCGAAAAATGAAAAAAATCTAAAAATCGAAAATTTGAAGAATTGAAAAAATGAAAAATTGAAAAATCCTGAAATTAGAAAATCTAAAATGAAGAATAAAAAAACTGGAAAGGCGCAAAATTTAAATATCGAAGAATTGAAGAATCGAAAAACTGAAAAAATACAAAAATCAAGAAATCGAAAAATGGAAAAACTGAAGAATCGAAATATTGACAGATCTCAAAACTGAATTATCCAAAAACTGAAAGATCGAAGAAAAGTTTAAGAATAAAAAAATTGAAAAATCCAAAAACTTAAATATCGAAATATTGAGAAAAGCAAAAACTGAATAATCGAGAAATCAGAAAATCTAAAATTTTAAAAATTGAAAAATTAAATGAAAGTATCGAAAAATTGGAAAATCGACGTATCGAGGTAACCAAAAATCGAAAAATTGAAATATTGTGAAAGTAAAAAATCCAGAAAACGAAAAATGGGAATGTCGAAAGATTGAAAAATTTAATTAATAATCGAAATATTGAAAAATCAGAACACTGAAATATCTCAAAATTGAGAAATCCAAAAAAACTGACGAATCGAAAAATTGAAAAATCCCAAAACTGAAACATCGAAAAATCGAGAAATCAAAAAACAGAAAAATCGCGAAATTGAAACGTCTAAAAATCCAAGTCGAAAAATTTAAATTTAAAAAGCCAAAAAATTGAAAAATCAGTAACCTATAAATTCGAAAAATTGAAGAATTAAAAAACTGAAAAATCGAAAAATCGAGCATTGAAAATTCCAGAGATCGAGAAGAGGGAATCAAAAATCGATTAATCGGAAATTGAGAAACCGGAAAATCAAAAATTTAGAAACGTGACAAATTGAAAAATGGCAAAACTGGAACATTGAAAAATTGAGATTTCGAAAAAAAATCTGAAGCATCGAAAAATTAAAAAATCTCAACCCAAAAAAATCGAAAAATTGAAAAAATTGAAAATCCAGACATTGAAAATCCAGACATTGAAAAATTGAAAAATCCTGAAATTGGAAAATCTAAAAATGAAGAATAAAAAACCTCGAAAATCGCAAAATTTAAATATCGAATAATTGAAGAATCGAAAAACTGAAAAAGTACAAAAATCAAGAAATCGAAAAATCGAAAAACTGAAGAATCGAAATATTGACAAATCTCTAAACTGAAATATCCGAGAATTGAAAGATCGAAGAAAAATTTAAGAATAAAAAAACTGAAAAATCCAAAAACGTTTAAAAATCAAAGTCGAAAAATTTAAATTTAAAAAATCAAAAAATTGAAAAATCAATAATCTAAAAATTCGAAAAATTGAAGAACTAAAAAACTGAAAAATAGAAAAATCGAGCATTGAAAATTCCAGAGATCGAGAAGTGGGAATCAAAAATCGATTAATGGAGAAATTGAGAAACCGGAAAATCAAAAATTTAGAAACGTGACAAATTGAAAAATGGCAAAACTAAAACATTGAAAAATTGAGATTTCGAAAAATGAAAAAATCAAAAAACCGAAAATTTGAAGAATTGAAAATCCGAAGAATCGAAAAATTAAAAAATCTCAACCCAGAAAAATCGAAAAATTGAAAAAGTACAATAATTCAAAAAATTGATTAATCGAGAAATCAAAAATTTAAAAACATCAAAAATTAGTATTCGAAAAATTAAGCCCCATACATACCAGCCCTGATTTAAATAGCAATGAAGTTTTCATTCGTTGGCAGACCTAGGGGCGGAGCCTAATTACAAAATCCACATTTCCCTACATTTTAAACGTGTTTTAACTTTGTAAGAATAAAAAAAATCGTCACAAATGAGATGGGGTGGGTGGGCGGGGTTCATATTTTGCTTGTTTTCTTAGTATGCATAGTATTCTTTGAACAACACGATACTCAAAAACATGTTTTTAATTTTTTGTAGAGAAATAAGAATTTTGCAGTTAAGCTCCGCCCCTTGATTCACAGCGAATGAAAAAAATTATCACAATTGAGATTGGGCGGGTGGGCGGGCCTACAGTATACCTTTTTGTTTTAATATGTTTAAACTTCGTTTCACAACATGAAACTTAAAACATGTTTAAAGTGGAAAATTTGTATAAGGAAATATCGATTTTGCAATTAGGTTCCGCCTCAGAATTGCAAATTCCATATTTCCTTGCAAAAATGTACTGTTTTAACCATGTTTTAAGTTTCTTGTTGTGAAAAGATGACTATGATATATTAAGAAAAAACGGCAAAATATAAGCCCCGTCCGCCCACCCTATCTCAGTTCTGATGATTTTTTTTATTCATCGTAAGCTTAATTGTAAAATTCTTATTTTTCTACGAGAAATCGTGTTATACAAAGAAAACTAAATGTATTAATTAAAAAAGAAACCCAAAAGAGAAGCCCCACGCATCCGTCTCGATCTTAATCGTGATGAATTTTTCATTCGTTGTCAGACCGAGGGGCGGAGCGTAATTGCAAAATCGATATTTTGCTATACAAATTTACCATTTTAAACAAGTGTTAAGTTTCTTGTTGCGAGAAGGTGACTACACATATTAAGAAAAAAAAGCAGAATGTTAATCCCGCCCACCCGCTCTATCTCAGTTGTGATAATTTTTTATTCGTCATGAGCGAGGAGGGCGGAGCTTAACTGCAAAATTCGTATTTCTATACAAAAAATAAAAAACATGTTTTTAAGTATGATGGTGTTGTTCAAAGAATACTGTCTATATTAAGAAAAAACAGCTAATTGATCAGGGAACAGTTGATGGGTTGATGGTTAAAAATTTCGAAGTTTACAGCCGCCATATGACTTAGGGAATTTTAGTAGTTACTAAAATGTTACCAAAAAATGGGGTTCTGGATGAAAAACAGGTTTTCAAGAAAGTTCGATTACAGACTTTTAAATTTTATCATTTATACAAGTTTCATTGGTTGCTAATTTTTCATCTAATTTGTCAAATTAAGCAAAGTAGTAATGTTTGCATTGTTAGTGTGTTAGTGTGGCATTAATGACGCATACAGTAAGACAGGTCAGAAATGCCACCATAGCCACACAAAACATTTTCTCTCAAAAAGTTACCAGAATTATTTTACCCTAAAACACACAAGCATATTCGATCCGTCATTCTATTTTTGTTGTCAGATCGCAGGGGAGGAACCGTACCAGTACCACTCCCCAGTGCAGCCCCCAATCGCCCCACCCTACTACTTCGTCGAAGAGACAGAACCCAAACACGCAAAAGTCGAAGTCCAACACGTCCCCGCCGAAGTCGAACTACTCGTACAGTACCAGGACGGTACTGTCCATGAAGAAGTATACGTCGTCATCGACGACACCGGACCTTTCGAAGTACCCACCGAAGACCCCGGACCCCCCAACGAAGCCGAAACGTTGCCGGAAATCTGCGAACAAGCCGAAAACCCTGACCAGGCATTGGCCCAAACAGAGAGCGACTCGAGTTGTCCAGACATCTGCGACCAAAGAAAAAAAGATCAGGCGGAAGACCCGTTGGCGCAAACAGAGAGCGAAGTGGCCGAAGAAGACACAGAAACGCAGATAGAAGGGGTGGTGCACGTGGTGGCACCTCAAGGCGAAGATGCCATTCAGGTAGTCGAAACGTCTGCTACAACGAGCCACGAGGGTCCGAGTGAAGACTCCAACGAAAGAGTGGAAAGCTGCCCTTTGCTGGACAGTCATGTACCTTCTGGAGAGTCGGAGCAAGTCGAGAGCGAAAAGTCAACAGAATCCGAGAAACCGTCAACCACTGGAATCGCAGATACCAACTACTACGAGTTGTTCCAAAAAGTGACTAAAATTAGGGAACGCAGTTCTGAAAGAAAGTTCGTTGCGTCGTTCGGGTCCATCGATATGGACGAAGAGTCGCTCGCGTTTATTGAAAATTTGATGGCACGGCTAAATCTCGAGCAGGGGAGTCCAAGTTATGAGTATCTGATCGAGAAGTTGCTGGGACCTTCGTCTAAACAAACTTGTACGTGCTTGCCGCCCGATCATACTAAGTAATGTGTATTTTATATTAATTGTATTACTAAATATAGTTGCTATTTTTAAACCCGAGTCCGTATTTGAGATCTGCCTAGAATCTCCAGCAGGAAAACCAGAGCTGAGGCGGCGTGACCGATAACCAAAATGGCGAAAGCGCCCTCTACGTGCGTCCATTTTAGTTTCACGGTAGTTTGTTCTTGGAAATGGTACATGATGCCTCTTTGGACTGACATATCCATGTACTGGGCTACCACCTGCAATGTAACATAGTTGTTACATGTTTACTGGTGTGGTCACGTGTCTATAACGTCCGGTAATATCTCGTTACCTCGTTTTCCCAATACGCTTCCAACCCTGCTTCAAAAACCCGCAAAATCAAGTCGTCAAGCAATGGTAAAAGCACTGAATTTTTCCGGATCACGAAAATACACTGCTCCCAATAAATATCCTGTTGCATGATCCGGTAGTCGGAAATGACGTCACGTTTGACGTATGGCCCTACAGCATAGTGACCTACAACAAGTTTACTGAAACTACTGAAATTAATCGAGTACCATACGGTAGCCGCTCTAGAGAGAACCCAAAATTGTGAAGTTTCGACGCTGCAACCAAATCATCTTCAGTTTTAACGACAAACTGACTCTTTATCACTTTGTAGTCCTCCTGAGTAATTTTTGTAAGTGTTAGGGATTTTGTTTTCTTGTGGTTACCTCGTTAACTTCACGTAGCGAGATGAGCCAGGCATCTGTCGGAGCTCCCCAAGGTAGACCACTGGACGCTAAGTCCTTTACTGTTTTGATTGCTTTTTTGTACCTTGGTACTGTCATCACGCTGGATAAACCGCTGCTGTAGGAACTCGACAGAAGTAGAACGTTTAGCATGTTTAGGGCTATGAAGTACTTCATCAGGCGCCCTTTTGGCGAAGTCGTGAGTGACTGGAGCAAGTAGAGTTTCACCATCACCGTTAAAGAGTCTGTGATGTAGTACTTGCTAGAATTTGGACTGTTGTATCGTGGTAGTACCACAAAGGTACTTACTTGTGGTTTCTGTACAATAAAATACTGAGAACGAGTGTATCTGCTAAAAACACAACAAGTACGGCCATCCACATCTCGTCAGAGAAAGAATAGAGCGGAGTTAGCCAACCAGCGGCAATTCTGCATAACTATGTCATGTTTAAAGTACCACGATACCAAGTTACTTACTGAGGTGCTGGTACTAAAGCTGTGACTCCTGTTCTAGTCAAAGGTTTACTATAGTCTAAAAATTTGTAGTACTCGTCCCATGTGTATATAGCACCTGAATGGAAAATTCTTAATTGAAATTTATCAATCTGTAGTACTCCTACCATAACCAACGTCCACGTCATCTCGTACCAAACTCCCCAAAATCCCAATACCCGTCCAGTTGTTGTAAATATCGCCCCATAAGTCATCCCCAGTGATAATGGTGAAAACAGGCGTCAAGTTGTGTTTTTTGACAAACTCAAAAATAAAACTTGTTTCAGTACCATGAATCGTTGTGTTGTCATCTTCTACAATACAGTACGGCTCATACGTAAAAGTACCGATTTTAAGTTGGCGCCCGTTCTGATTGTACAGTTTGTCTGGAAAAAGGTGGTACCCATTCAAGAAACTCTCATTCTGTGGAAACCAAGTGTCCACAAGTACTACTTCGTTACTTCCGTTCATGTCACCATACAAATGTGTAAGCAAGTCATAGCTTCCATTTTTGGGTACCACCACCAGTAGATTAGACACGTACTCCAGTTCTTTGGTACTAAAAATCTTCATTGCGTCGTCTCCACTTACTACGTACCTCCTCATATTAAATCTCTCACTATTCAATCTGATTAATTTTTCAAATTGAACGAAAATGTCGGACGCGTTTTCATGATGGATGACCACATCCTGACACCCATAATGTTGAAAAATTAGATGTGGATTTAATGTGTTGTTTACTTTTATGTAAACAGTGGGTATTTGTAGATGAGATTCGATGTCATTACAGCTATCGGTAAATATGAATACACAGCGAGTATCGAAAAAATAAGTTTTTAATAAAACCCGGAATAAAAGATTTAGGGTCGCGTTTACCATGTTGCGAGAAATGCGATGGTTTCATGACTGAATATCTGAGTTGTGTTTGAGAGCAAATAGCGCTTAATTTGTGTTTATTTGCTGCTGCTTTGTACCATCGCTTTTTATTTCACTTGTTAGAGATCGTTATTTTAATAGTGTTTACATGGAAGGTTCGATTGTATTGAAACGACAAACAAAATTAAAAAGACATTTTATTAAAAGTCATCACATGTTTCTAAAGCTTGAACTAGGACAAACGTGGGCTGCTCAACCAACCAAATTTAGAGCTCTTTTTTTGAAAGATTAAGACCGAGAAGTGATTGGTTGCACCCCCACCACGCCCTACTAACTACTCTAACCTAACTTTACACTTCATTGCCACATTTAATTCTCATTACTGTAAATCTGGGGGATATTTTCTCGGATCCACGAGATGTACTTCTTCACATTCGTGTACACACTAGGAACCCCAGTCGCTCCACACCGGTCGGACCCAAACGACAAAATCCCCACCTAGAACCCATTTCGTACCATTTCTTTAGCATAGTCTGTTTTCTGTCATACCTGATAATATGTCTCCCCATGTCGCACCGTCAACGGCGCCCCTCCAAACCCGCTACACGCGTCGTTCTCCGCCTCCCCTCCCGCGCACAGATGGTCCTCGGTGATGGGCAGCGTGTTCCCGTACACCCTGTGGCACACGCTCAGGTCCGTGATGGGCAGAAACAGGGTCTGTTGCAGGTTCGAGGCGCTGCTTTGTTTGGCGTTGCGGCCCCAGCCCACCAAAATACCATTTCTGTTGGTGACCGACCATGTTTCCGGTAGACAAATCGGCTGGGCGGTCACTAAAAGTCGAAATCTAGCATCAATTTGTGTTGTGAAGCGTGACCAATTGATGGGTTCTCACGGATTAGTTTTTCCCATGATTGGGTCTTCCGGTTTAGTGCTCCCTGTAATGATGGTACTCACCGGAGTAGTTGATTTTGCTTCTGAGGACGAGGAGGGCGATGTTGTTGCTGTAGGATTGTTTGTCGTAGTTGGGGTGGACGATGACGTGGCTGGGGAGGATGTCCTGGACGGGGAGGCCGCAGAATTCCTCGCCGCAGTCGATGTCGGCGTTGGTGTTCCATTCGCCAACTCGGACCGAGTAGCTAGAACATTTCTATTGTTAAGCAAAATTTTTGGAAATGTACAAATACACTTACAGTTTGTAGTTTTCTGCTTTGGCCAAAGCACAATGAGCCGCTGTCAAAATAACTCTGCTACTAATAATGGATCCTGTGCAAGGGTACTTAACCTCTCCAGTCCTCACATCTGGAAGCCAAAATTTACCATTTTTTTTTTTTCAAAAAGAGGGAAAAACTTACTTCTGAACCCTATTCTCACCACCCAGGGGTACGCCCCGATCCCGTCGTAGTTGTCCCCTTGGATCTGCGATATCCCGCACCTTTGCCCATCGACCATCTTCCCGGAGTTGATGTTGTTCAGCGGATCCACAACAAGGGGGCAACAGACGTATCTTTCGCCGCTGTGGTAACCGCAGCCAAGATTCGAGATTCTGAAGATATTGCTATTATTTTATTGTTGTTTTTTGAGTTTTTTTTACCTTTCTGTGTTCACACATTCGTTGGATAAAATATTGTTGAGCATCGGACATTGCGATAGGGGTAAACACTCGGTGTTGCGTTCGCAGAAAAGGGTGTTCTTTCGGGGGGAAATGAGGGTGTCGGACTCATAATAGGTGAGCTGGGGTTCACCTAGACGATAAAAGATACGCAAAAGGCTGTAATTTGATTAATCGTTATAGTGGGTGTATCAGGGGACAGTATTAGGAACAGCATTATTTTCAATTTAGGTAAGTGATGTTAAAGACATAAATACGAAGTGACTATTTATAGCTGCACTTAGGACGAAAATGACTTTTTCCACGGAAAATGGGAAAATTGCCATCGATGTTTTGAGATTTACTTTACTTGATTTTGTTCCTGGTGAAATTTCAAATGTAGTGTTTAATGTTTCACTAAAATAATTAAACTGGATTTTTATGCGTTCTTAGGGCGATTTTTTCATTCCTTGGTTTTGCCTCAGGTGAAATGCGACTTCCAAAATAGGGAAAATTTTGATTTAAAAATGACACCTTGGCACAAAAGTCCAGGATTTTTAAAAATGACCAACAGAATAATAAGGACTTTATGTTCAATAAGATGCTGACAGGATTTTATTTTTCATCGTGGGGTTACCCATGTTTTTCCCCACAATGGAGTTTACAATGGTCAAAATTTTAGATCGTGAATGATACCTGAACAAAAGTCTAAAAATGTAATGTTTAATTTTCGAAGAATCAAGCCGAAAATAACCTCTACAAGTCGAAATCTACAAGAAAAAATGTCTTGAGGTAATTTTCGAAGGATGTTCAAAAAATGCTCAAAATTAATAATGTAGAGGTTTCGAAAAATGGAGATTTTTGAAGTTGCACTAAAATTTTCAAAAAATTCTGGGAATACATTTTGAGGAGCTGATTTTACAAAATAAATATAACTTGTTCATGCTGACGGACCAAGATTTTGGAAAATTGGGTTTGAAAATAGAAATTGAAAAATATTTCGAAAATTCATTTTTTCGATCCTGGAAAAATCGTATAATTTTCGAAGAAGGGAGCTGAAAATGACTTCTGCAAGTCGAAATCTGCAAGGAAATGTCCTCAGGGTGTTCGAAAAGTGGTCAAAAATTTATTTATGGGTTTTTAAAAATTGATATTTTCGAAAAGTTGCCTTAAATATTTTGGAAATATATTTTGACGAGCTGATTCTAAAACATAACTTGTTGATGATCTCAAATTAAAAGATTTTTGGACAATTCGTTCTGAAAATGACATTTTCAAAAAAATTTAGAAATTTATCATTTTCCATTGTTTCGTTTTTGGGAAAATTGTTTAATTTTTGAAGAATCAAGCCAAAAATGACTTTTATAAATCGAAATCTACTAGCAAAAATGTCTTGAGGTAATTTTCAAAGGATGGAAAATTGAGATTTTTGAAAAGTTGCCTTAAAATCTTTAAAAAATTCTGGGAATACATTTTGGGGAGCTGATTTTACAAATATAACTTGTTGATGGTGACGGACCAAGATTTTGGAAAATTGGGTTTGAAAATATAATTTTAAAAATATTTCGAAAATTCATAATTCATTGTTTCGATTCTAGAAAAATCGTATAATTTTTGAAAAATGAAGTCGAAAATGACTTTTATAAATCGAAATCTACTAGCAAAAATGTCTTGAGGTAATCTTCAAACGATGTTCGAAAAATGGTCAAAAGTTCATAATGTAAAGGTTTTGAAAAATTGAGTTTTTTGAAAAGTTGCCTCAAAATCTTCAAAAAATTCTGGGAATTTTAAAAACATCACTTGTTGATGGTGACGGACCAAGATTTTGGAAAATTGGATTCGAAAATTCAGTTTCCACTTTTTCGGATTCGGAAAAATAGTAAAATTTTCGAAGAATAAAGCCGAAAATAAGTTCTATAAGTCGAAATCTACAAAAAATTACTTTAGGTAATTTTCGAAGGGTGTTCGAAAAATGGTAAAAAATTGATAACGTATGGGTTTTTAAAAACTGAGATTTTTGAAAAGTTGTCTTAAAATCTTCAAAAAATTTAGAGAAATACGTTTTGACGATCTGATTCTAAAAACATAATGTGTTGATGATCCCAGATGAAGATTTTGGACCATTCGTTCTGAAAATGAAATTTTAAAAATAAGTATTTAGAAAATTGTGATTTTTTATTTTTTCGATTTTGGGAAAATTGTTTAATTTTTCCAAGAATGCAGCCGAAAATAACTTCCATAAGTCGAAGTCTATAAGAAAATGTTTTTCGAAGGGTTTTCGAAAATTGGTCAAAAATATGATGTAATAATGTTTCGAAAAACTGAGAATTATGAAAACTTGCCTTAAAATTTTCAAAAAATTCTGAGAAACATATTTTGACGAGCTGATTCCAAAAGCATAATGTGTTGATGATTTCAGAAGTAGATTTTGGACAAGTCAGCATGAAAATGGATTTTTAAAAATATTTCGAAAATTGTCATTTTCCATTTTTTGCATTTTCGAAAATTATTTAATTAATTGTTGAAGAACTAAGTCGAAAATGATTTTTATAAGTCGAAATTTACAAGAAAATATCTTTAGATAATTTTCGAAAGGTGTTCGAAAAATGGTCAAAAATTCCTAATGTAGGGGTTTTGAAAAATTGAGAATTTTGAAAAATTGCTTTAAAATCTTCAAAAAATTCTGAGAAATGTACTTTGACGAGTTGATTCCAAAAACGTAACGTGTTGATAGATTCAGACCAAGAATTTGGAGAATTCGTTCTGAAAATGGAATGTTAAAAATATTTCTAATATTATCAATTTGCATTTTTTCGATTTTGGGAAAATTGTTTAATTTTCGAAGAACGAAGCGGAAAATAAGTTCACTATAAGCCGAAGAATACAAGAAAATGTCTTTCGAAGGGTTTTCCAAAATTAGTGAAAAATTCATGATGAGGGGTTTCGAAAAACTGAGATTTTTGAAAAGCTACCTTAAAATTTTCAAAAAATTCTGGGAAACACAGTTTGACGAGCCGATTCTAAAAACATCATGTGTTGATGATTTCAGAAGTAAATTTTGGACAAGTAGGCATGAAAATGGATTTTTTTAAATATTTCGAAAATTGTCATTTTCCATTGTTTGGATTTTCGAAAATTAATTATTTAATTAATTGTTGAAGAATTAAGCCGAATTGATTTTTATAAGTTGAAATTTACAAGAAAATATCGTTAGATAATTTTGGAAATGTGTTCAAAAAATGGTCCAAAATTCATAATATAGGGGTTTTGAAAATTGAGAATTTTGAAAAATTGCCTTAAAATCTTCAAAAAATTCTGGGAAATATTTTTTGACGAGCTGGTTCCAAAAACGTAACGTGTGGATGATTTCAGACCAAGAATTTGGAGAAGTCGTTATGAAAACGGAAAGTTCAAAATATTTCTAATATTATCAAATTCCATTTTTTCGATTTTGGGAAAATTGTTTAATTTTCGAAGAACGAAGCGGAAAATAACTTCTGTAAGTTGAAGTCTACAAGAAAATGTCTTTCGAAGGGTTTTCCAAAATTAGTCAAAAATTCATAATGTAGGGGTTTCGAAAAACTGAGATTTTTGAAAAGCTGCCTTTAATTTTCAAAAAATTCTGGGGAACACATTTTGACGAGCCGATTCTAAAAACATCATGTGTTGATGATTTCAGAAGTAGGTTTTGGATAAGTCAGCATGAAAATGGATTTTTAAAATATTTCGAAAATTGTAATTTTCTATTTTTTCTATTTTCGAAAAATTGTATAATTAATTTTTGAAGAATTAAACCGAAAATGATTTTTATAGGTCGAAATGTACAAGAAAATATCTTTAGATAATTTTCGAAAGGTGTTCGAAAAATGGTCAAAAATTCATAATGGAGGGGTTTTGAAAAATTGAGAATTTTGAAAAAAATATAAAAATTTTGTGAAATTATTTTACCAAAATTTCAAAATTTTATTCAGTGTTAATAACTTACGTACCAGAAAATCTGAAAATTTTGTCAAACCTTAATAAATTTGAGAAAGCTGAAAAAGTAGCGAGAAAACGACTTGTAAAAGTTCCATTTAGACTCGATATTTCAACTCATATTCAGGATCAGTTGGGATTGTTGTTCTAATGTTCGTTGAAATGAAAAGTTCGTTGGCTATTTAATAATATGGACAAGATTATAGTTTGCTTGTTAAATTTATTAGTCGATTCCTCGGCTTCGTCTCGGATGAAATGCGGAGCGCAAAAAGTGAAAATTCTCGTTACCAAAAGGCATTTTGAAAAAAACTTGGAAATGCGGGTATCACTTTTAAAATGAACCCATAATGAAAAAAGTGAGATAATATTGGTAAAAATTGTGGAAAATTGTCATAAATATTTTGAGATTTTTTATGCGATTTTTGTTCCTGGCGTAATTTCAAATCAAAATAGTGAAAATATGATTTAAAATGATATATTGGCCCAAAAGTTCAGAATTTTTAAAAATAAGTAACAGGATAATGAACACTTCATGTTCATGCATATTTTTAATAAGACATTGACACGATTTTATTAAAAAAATAAACATTTTAGTTCCTAAATGATCCCTGAGTACAAGTCTAAAAAACGGTCTCAAATTGTTAAAGTTTTGCGAAACTATCTATATTATCAAAATTTTGGCAAAAAACGACTAAATACCCTAATTATGCTCTTCCAACCATTTGAAAATTTCTGCTTATTCCGATCTGACAAAAATAATTACATGTATCAAGGTTTTCCGGAAATTACAAATAATTTTCTTTCAAACGTTATGAACTTATGATATGTGTTTTTGAAGCGTATCTGATTGAGTTTTTTTCTTTTGCAGTGATGCGATTGATCTGGTATATATTTTAAAAAATTGTTCTATTAAAGATCTGAAATTTAATTTCAGTTTGCCATTAGGTTAAAAATTGATGATGTTTACATTTTTTGATGTTTCTGTTTAAAACTTGAAATAATCAGACACATTTGAACATCTTCCCTCGTAACACTTTATTTTCATTAACATTGTGGCACGTGTCCACAAATAAATTATGCGAAATTCACCGGCTTGCTTACATACTTGAATTTAATTACCAAAAATAAGATTAATTGATAAAGGAGCATCCTGTTAGTTAGCAGAGATCTAATTAGCGCTCCCCATATGCATTTTGGAATTTTCGCGAGGCCACAAGCCAAGGGCATTTTTTACACTTATATAATGATAACAATAAAAAATTCTTTTAATATTAATAATCCCATATTGTTCCCATTATTTTTTCCATACGCGTTTATTTTGTGTCAATAACACACAATTACACCACAGTACTAACCGCACGTTTAATAATTCACCGAACCATGAAAGGTGTAGACACGAAATGGAAAAAATCGAACGTGTTTACTTCTATCGAATAAAGGAAAAAACGTACATAAATAATGCTAAAAAATAGAACCACCGACCGTTTAATTCTATTTAAATTATCCTACTTTGATCGCTAAAAAATGGGTACTATGAATAATCGCACGTCCCATCATCCTTGAATTCTAATTTGTCACAGATAACGTAATTGCGGTGTTGGTTTTACGACTTTTCGATTAACAATTTTTTGAAAATTTTCCCCCGTGGTACGACCTATCTATCAACGATTTCCATCAAGGTCGTACCCACCGATGCGTCATTTATTATTATTATCAACACCTATAGGAAAATCAATGCCAATTTTTATTTATTTTAGGACACAAATGGCGCGGCCTTCACCAACCATAATTTTTTCTTGGAAGAAGACTACTTCCCGTACCGATTAATAACAATTTGAAACGGACCGGTGCTCCTCAGTACCCACTTACTTAAGTCATTGAAAAACGCGGGTCATTCGCTCGCGATTTTGAAATTTTTAGGAAAATTTTGACTTACCGGTGACTCGGGCCCATTGGGTGACCACTAGGACGACGCACAGCAGCACGTGGGTACTCTTCACCTGGCACCTGGTCATCGTTGTGTCTAGTACTGCAGTGCAAAAGCCGAATAAATCAGCAATAGTCTGAACGATTTATTATGACCTTCTCACATACAAAAAAAAATCATCATACATGCGTAACAAGGCATGACTTTGCCCCCCCAAGTCTCCCCACGGTGCGGACGATACAAAGTTTAATTTTATAGATTGCAGCTGACCGTAAACAGGCATCAATCGCATAGGTGTCTATTGCATTTTAATTTTTATTGCTGTGGTGGCAATGAGGAGTGAGTTTTTGGAGGAATAGTGCGTCGATTTTTTGGGTCTCTTTGTCTTTGTGTGATGGATCACAGGTCCTTTAATTGATTTAGTTGGGAGTTATTTTCTAAATGTGATTTTTTTTATAATAAAAGCATTGCTTAAAATTTTAAAATCAATTTCTCAAAGTGTAACAATTTCAAAGTTGCACTTGTATTGTTGAAATAATTATTATTTATTTATTAAATACTGTCTACTGTTAGAATTATGGTGTCCTTGTTAGATTTTGTGGTTAATTTTTAAAATATACGACAGTTATCTCTGAAAATTTACAACAAAATGTCTTTAGGTTATTTTCGGAGGTACTGAAAAACGGTCAAAATTGATAATGAAAACTTGAGATTTTTGAAAAGCTGCCTAAAACCCTGGAAAAATTCTGGAAAATATATTTCGACGAGTTGATTCTAAAAACATAACTTGTTGATGGTTCCGGACGGAGATTTTTGAAAAATTGTGTTTTAAAATAGGATTTTAAAAATATCTCGAAAATTGTCATTTTTCGATTTATTCGATTCTGGAAAAATTGTTGGAATTTTTGAAGAAATGACGCTTAAAATAAATGTTAGAAGTCGAAATCTACAGAGAAATAAAGAATGTCAAAAATTCATACACTGAAAAATTGAGATTTTTCAGAAGATATCTAAAAATTATCAAAAAATTCTTGGAAATACATTTCAATGAGCTGATTCAAAAAATATAACTTGTTGATGAGTCTTGTACCACTATTTTTGCAAAATTCGCTTGGAAATTGCGATTTTTTTAATATTTCGAAAATTTTGATTTCTAGTTTTATTGATTCTGGAAAAACTGTTGGAATTTCCGAAAAAATGAAGCCGAAAGTAACCATTACAAATCGAAATTTATAAAATATGGCCTGTAGTTAATTTTAAGAAGCCCCCGAAAAATGGTCAAAATTTCATAGAATGAATAATAGAAACTTTTGAAAAGTTCTCTAAAAATTCAAAAAAAATTCTTGGAAATACATTTCGACAAACCGATTCACAAAATATAACTTGTTGATGAGTTTTGTGCCACGATTTTTGCAAAATTCGCTTTGAAAATGCGATTTTTTGAATATTTCTCATTTCTAGTTTTATCGATTCTGGAAAAACTGTTGGAATTTCTGAAGAAATGAAGCCGAAAGTAACCATTACAAATCGAAATTTATAAAATATGGCCTCTAGGTAATTTTCGAAAGGTCCTCGAAAATGGGTCAAAAATTCATACAATGAAAAATAGAGATTTTTGAAAAGTTGTCTAAAAATTCTAAAAAAATTTTTGGAAATACATTTCAACGAGCTGATTCAAAAAATACAACATGCTGATGAGTCTTGTACCACGATTTTTGCGAAATTCGCTTTGAAAATGCGATTTTCTTAATATTTTGAAAATTTTCATTTCTAGTTTTATCGATTCTGGAAAAACTGTTGGAATTTCCGAAAAAATGAAGCCGAAAATAAATATTACAAGTCGAAGTTTATAAAATATGGCCTCTAGGTAATTTTCAAAAGGTCCTCAACATTGGTCAAAAATTCATACAATGAAAAATAGAGATTTTTGAAAAGTTGTCCAAAAATTTCCAAAAAATTCTGCGAAGTACTTTTCAACAAGCTGTTTCGAAAAATATAACTTGTTGATAAATCTTGCACCAGGATTTTTGGAAAATTAGCTTTGAAAATGAGATTTTTAGAACAATATCTCGAAAATTTTAATTTTTAATTTTATTGATTCTGAAAGAACTGTTGGAAGCCGACAATAGCTTTAACAGGTCGATATCTGCAAAACAATACCTTTAGGTAATTTTCAAAGAAGTTTAAAAAACGGTCAAAAATTCATACATTAAGAAATTGCGATTTTTGAAAAGTTGTCAAAAAATTCCTAAAAAATTCTGGGAAATACATTCCGACGAGGTGATTCGAAAAACATAACTTGGTAATGGTCTTGGACTAATATTTTCCAAAAATTCGGTTTGGAAATAGAATTTTTAAATACTTGGCAAATTGTCAGTTTTCATTTTATCGATTTTGGAAAAATTGATTGTGATTCCAAGAGTGAAGCCAAAATTACTTCTACAAGTCTAAATGAAAAGGGTTTAAATATTCATCTTGAGAAATTAAGAATTTTGAAAAGTTGATTAAAAATCTTTCAAAATATTGAAAATTTTCCATAAATTGGTTTGAAAATGGTATTTTTAAAATACATACATCGAAAGTTGTCATTTTTTATCTTATCGATTTTGGGAAAATTGTTTAATTTGCGAAGAATGACTTCTACAAGTTGAACTTTACAAGACAAAGATTAAGAAGATTTTTGAAATTTGCTTTTTGTTGGCAATATTCTTATTCTTATTCTTTTCCTTATTTTGAAAAATTTGAATTGAAAATAAAAATATTTCGAAAATTGCCATTTTTTTATTTCTTCGATTTTGGAAAAATGGTTTGATTTTCGAAGAATGAAGCCGAAAATGACCGCCATAAGTCGAAATCTCCAAGAAAATATCTTGAGTTAATTTTCGAAGAATGTTGGAAAAATACTCAAAAATTCATAATAACTTTAACTTTTTCTTACAGTCTTTTATAAGTAAGTAGTAGCCCCGCCCACTCACCCCCTCTTCGTTTCAGTGACTACTCCAAATATTGTTCAATCTTATCTTGGCAAGTGATAGCCCCGCCCACCCGCCCTATTCTCATTTTAACGATTTTATTTCTGTTCATCAGTATAAAATCCGCCTTTCATTGAGATAAAATGAATCACTAAAATGAAGGCGGGGTAAGTGGGCGGAGTTATGTTCTTCTGTAAAGTGGTAACAAACTAATAGAACTGGGTCTGTTAAAAAGAGAAAAAAATTCGATACTCGTATTTTTTTATACTATTTGCTATAAAAATACATTACTTATTTCGGAAGAAAAAAAAGGACGGGTGGGCGGGCGGGGCTAAGTTTAACTTTTTTTACAGAGTCTTTTATAAGCAAGCAATAGCCCCGCCCACCCACCCCTTCTTCATTATAATGATTACTCGTAATACTGTTAATTATTATGTCGAAATCCAAAGATTTCTATCTAATTATTAATTTTCCGCTACGAAAATTTTTGTTTTCAAAACTATCAAAATTTTTTCGACATAATTTTGTAAGCTCTATTTCGAAAATTTAATATCTTAAATCAGCTGCTTACAAGTGTTGTAATTTTCCAAAATCATTTTTAAAGCATGTTTCCATTTTTCTGAATAATTGAGATTTTTGCAGTTGCTTTAAAATTCTGGGAAATATTTTTGACGAGCTGATTCCAAAAACATAACGTGTTGATCATCCAAGAATTTTGGACAAATCATTCTGAAAATGGATTTTAAAAATATTTAGAAAATTGTAATTTTTCCTTTTTTCGATTTTGGGGAAAATTGTTTCATTTTCGAAGAATGAAGCCGAAAATGATCTCCATAAGTCGAAATCTACAAGAAAATCTCTTGTGGTAATTTTCGAAGATTGTTCACCCGCCTTCTTTTTTTTAGATGGTGTTTTAGGCAAAATCAGTCTTATATTAGCAGGTACTATTCTCATTTTAAAAAAGTTGTCTAAAAATTGCGAAAAAATTCAGGGACGTAGATCTCGACATGCTGGTTCCAAAAATATAGCATGTTGATGGTCGCTGACCAATATTTTCGAATGAATCAATACGCAATGCGACTTTTTGAAAATTTCTAAAAATTTCGATATTACGACGGTCGATTCCGGAAAAACGGTTGCAGTCATTAAAGAAACGGGGCCGGAAGTGAGTTCTAGAGCTGGAAATCTACAAGAAAATGTATTTAGTTATGTTTCGAAAATGTCAAAATTTGGCCGAAATTTGAAGAAGGGGGGACCATGACAGACATTTTATTTAAAAAAAAAGTTGTCTAAAAATTGCGAAAAATTTCAGGAACGTAGATCTCGACATGCCGATTCCAAAAATATAGCATGTTGATGGTCACGGAGCAAGATTTTCGAAAGAATCGGTATGAAATGCGAATTTTTGAAAAGTTTTAAAATTGTCGATATTTCGACTGTCGATTCCGGGAAAACGGTTGCAGTTATCAAAGAAACAAGGCCGGAAGTGAGTTTTAGAGCTCGAAATCTACAAGAAAATGTGTTTAGATAAGTTTCGAAAATGTCAAAATTTGGCCGAAATTTGAAGAAGGGGGGACCATTGAAAAAATTTCACTTTTAAAAAAGGTGTCTAAAAATTGCGAAAAAATTGAGGGACGTAGATCTCGACATGCCGAATCCAAAAATATAGCATGTTGATGGACACCGTGTAATATTTTCAAAAGAATCGGTACGAAATGCGAATTTTTGAAAATTTCTGAAAATGTCGATATGTCGATGGATAAAAAAGGCCGAAAGTGAGTTCTAGAGCTCGAAATCTACAAGAAAATGTGTTTAATTGAGTTTCGAAAATCTCAAAAATCGGTAGGAATTTGAAAAAAATTCACCTTTAAAAAAGGTATCTAAAACTAAACTTCAGTGCTTTATTATCGCGTACAAGAGGTTACGAGAATTAAATTTCCCACGATAACCTAGAACTGCAAACCCGACGGTTATAGACGAAAATTAACAACTGTGACAAATTAGAATTTATGAGAATGTAAACAAAGACAATGTTTTTGTTCATGTGAATGGTCATTATTACCTTTATAGACGTCGTAATTATGTTATAATTATCGTTAATATAATGAAATTACAAATTCTAAAAGTTTTTTGAATTTTTTGTTTGTTTTTACAAATCATTTTTGAGTAATTATTGGCTCTAAACTGCTTTAAAATTAAAATTTTTTGGAAATTATAACAACTTTCTGTAAAGTTACTAGTTCAAAATAAATTAATCGTTATTACAATGTAATGGAGACTATTCAAATGGAAAAATATATTAATAAAAGGACTTTTTGTAGTTTTTATTCATTTATTCGTATTTTTTTAATTTCTACAGTTCGTTTTCAAACATAAACACATTACCTAAAATCTCCTAATCATATACTAAATAAAACAAAATTGAAACTCAAGGAATAGTGTTAAATTTTTGATCACCACACGTTCGTTTCTCCTTCACTATAAAATCCTGCGCCGGATTCCCATTATCCGGATACACAATCAGCGGATTCCCCGGAATATACCTAGCTCCAGTTATATCCAAATTCCTCCCAGACCCAGCATTCACAATCCGCCCATTCGAATTCACAAACCATTGTTGACTCAACGACTCATTAGTTTGTTTCGCAAGCACCACCGTATAATCATTGGCCACATCCAGAACGGTCCTACAACAAAAATCAGCACCTATTCCCCCAATTTTGAAAAGCGGTACTCACTCGGTACTGTTGTTCAAAATAAAAAACAACCCCGGCCTGCTTCCCCGCTTGAACCTCCACAGCTGCGGCGTATACCCATCGAAGTGTTGGACGGTCACTCTAGAGTTACTAGCGTCCAGAACCAAGTTGGAAGCGGTACTCCTTATCAGGTACCATGAATCGTCCTCACAGTAGTAATAATTCAGCGTGAAGACGATGCTATCGTAGAACGATGGAACAAGGATAAGCAGAAACCTGCGGAAGCAATAAAAACGACGCAAAAATGTGAGATTATACGTACCACTTGGCCGGAAGTACCATTTTCGGAGGATTTCGTAACTAACTGGTTTGAATAAATCGGGAGTGCTTATAAGGTTTTTGGTTTAAGGTGGCGTTGTGGGCGAGGAGAGGGGCAAGATGTTTAAAAAGTACTACTTATTTGTATTATATACAACAACAACAACAAGAAAATAAATACGAGGAACGTTTTCAGTTACAAGTACGTTTCTCTTTGACAACGAAATCTTGCGCCGAATCACCTTATTGGGGGTACTTTTATTTTTGACATCTCGGTTTATCGATTTTGAAAATTTTTCGAGTTTAGATTTCCCGATTTTTCAAATTTTCCACAAAGATTGTCACTAAAAATCAAAAATGTTCTCTTACTCGTCCAAACCAACCAATAATCGCTTCTGAACGCTTAAAGTCGATACTCGCCTGCGCACGCTCTGATCTGTAGATCAAACAAGTTATCAGGAGACGAGTTACCAAGGGAAGTGCTTATATTATCATTTTTATTAATTTCATTCATTTAAGACATGATTAAATTAGTCAAACACTTCTGCATTATATCACCAACAGAGAAGATAATTTCACCACATCCTGTGACATTTGTATCCTGTTACATAACAAGGGAAATTTAAAAAAACAAGCTACTGCTACAATTTTATTCAAATTAAATATAAATCAATTTCCACATGTCTGTTTTTCCTTTACAATAAAATCCTGGGCACCACTCCCGTTATCGGGATGAACTATCAACGGATTACCAGCAACGAACTTCCCACCTCTCACATCCAATAACTTTCCAATACCTGCATTGACCAGACGACCATTGAAATGCAGGAACCACTGTTGGTTCAAAGTACCGTTTTTTTCCCTACCAAGTACGACCGTGTTGTCACTTGCTACATCAAGAACGTTCCTACGAAACCAAAACTCAACCAAGACAATTTTTTTGATAAAGTACTAACCCGGTACTGTTGTTGACAATCACGAATAAACCTGGTCTGAGACCCTTCTTGAAATTCCACAATTGGGGTTTATATCCGTCGAAATGTTGCATGCTCACTTTTGAATTACTTCCATCCAGAACGAGATTCGAGGGGGTACTTCTTATCAGGTAGAGAGCGTCGTCTTCGTAACTTCCGTGGACGCAGATAACGATATTGCAGAGAAAAAACACGCAAAGAGGTAAGTACCTGTAGGAAAGTTACCGTGATTGGGTAAAAATATAGGTACTTGTACGTACCAAGCCATTATGGAAACGTCTTGTATTGGCACTAATTGTGGAACTGGTACGTGTGGATTTTTTCTAACACGCTTTTATTAGAGCTTATCACGTGTGGGTACTATCGTGGTTACTATTGTGGTTAGAAGGGGAAAAACTATCTAAATCTTTGATGGGAATCACATTTGAATGGAAGTACCCCACTAAGGCACCAATTTAAAATTAAAATGAAACACATTTTAAGAATATATTCTGCTAAAAAAACACAAAGTGCAGGTTTTTAAGGCAATCCACAAGTAATTTTTTCTTTTACGATGAAGTCTTGGGCTGCGTTCCCATTATCAGTGCGTACTATCACAGGATTCCCTGGGACGTACCTCGCGTGAATTATATCCACAGTTAGCTTCATACCTGCGTTTATAATGCGACCATTTGAGTTGAGAATCCACTGTTGGTTTAAAGAATCTTTTTCTTTGGCTAGAATGATTGTGTTTTGGTTGCTTTTGTCGACGTCCAAGACTGTCCTGCAATTCTGCGTTAGTACCGATTTCTGACAGTATATTTATGTCGTACCCTGTGTTATTGTTAACGATGATGAACAAACCTGGTCGCTCTCCTCTCTTGAATTTCCATAGTTGCGGTTTATAGCCGTCAAAGTGTTGAATTGTCACTTTGGACTCACGAGAGTCGAGCACTAAATTCGAGGCGGTACTTCTAATGAGGAACAAGGAGTCGTCGTCCCAGGTTTCGAGCGGTAGTACCACACCATGGAAGAGAAGAAAAGCGACAAGACTGCAATTACTGTATTTTAGTAACAGGTGATAAGTGAGTTCGTACGTACCATTTCAGCTGAAGTACCATCGTCGAAGTTTCAATTATTGACTACCTGATTGCTGCAGTCGGTGCATTTATATATGGGTGTAGGTTTAAAAACATCCGGAACCACGATTTTATCGAACCCTATCAGTACTTGTTTGTGGAATTTTGTGTGAATCAAAATAAGTTTATTTGGTTTGATTGTAAAAATATAGTTATCCAAGCTATAAGCGAAACTATGCAGAAGCACTAATATTAAAAACATAACTTCATTTTTGCATCAATCGGTACTACTTCTCCCTTTGAAACATTAATTCCACCACAAAAACCACCAAACTGACGGTACAACCCAAAGCCAGAATCGCAAAAGTCCCTTCGACGTGACTCCACTTTAACTTGACCACTTCGTGTTCGATAATGTGGTACTTGTAGTACTTGACCACCCTTTGAACCTCCGTGTTCATGGACATCTCCACCGCCTGGAACAACCACTCAAACTCACATCTAACCCCCTACCCCTTACCGTGTTTTGCCACTTCGAAATCAACCCAGCCTCAAAAATCCGCAAAACGAACAAATCAAGCGATGGGAGTAGTACCGAGTTTTTTCTCAACATGATAACGCACTGCTCCCAATAGAAATCTTCCTCCATTAAGTGGAAATTGCCGATAGTGTCTTCGTCGATGTACTCACCAACGGCGAAGTTTTCTGTAAGAAAGAACGTCAATGATTGGTACTAACACTGGAATTGTGGTACCAAAAGGGAGGCGTTCGATAGAAAAGGCGAATTGGCCGGTTTTGGACAGTCGGTGGAGTTCGTCTTCAGGCGTGGGGTGGAATTTGCTTACTATTTGAACGTAGATGGGTTCTTCGGCGTTTTGGATTGAGGTGATCCAGGCGTCTTGAGTGGCACCCCAATCTAGACCACTGTCGGCGAAATCTTGAACGGTGTCAATAGAGTCTTCGTACCGTGGTAGCGTCATCACGGTGGCCAAACCACTACTATAGGTACTAGTGAGGAAAAGACTGAAAACTAGCATTAGGGCTAACATAAATTTGCTAGCCACGTCAAGAGGGATTTCGTTTTTGTTTAAAGCTTGTAGCAAGACGGGTTTTAGGACGATTTTGACCGCAAGTGCGACGAAGTGTGGGTACTTTTCTGGCTTTTGGTCGGACTTGTGGTGGTACCACAACAGAATCAGAGATAGAATGAGAATGGATGCGATGAAGACGATACTAATGTAGAGCCATAGTTCCGGCGCGTACGAAAAAAGAGGGGTGAGCCAACGAGCAGCCAACCTGGAAGAGTCTGGTGGATTTAGAAAACCAAAAGTGGTACTTACTTGGGGGCTGGTACCAGACACGTGATCCCTGTTCGTACTAGGGGTTTTGACAAGTCTAGGTAGTGGTAGCAGATCTCCCAGGTGTACAACGCGGCTAAAAATTTGAATTATTACTAGTACCGTGTTGATGGAGGTCGTACAAAAGCCTATGTCGGCATTGTCTTCCACGAGGTTGCCCAAAAGCCCGTTTCCCGACCAGTTGGAGAAAATTTCGCCCCAGTAGTCTTTCTCGTTGACGATGGGGATGGGGGTCATGTTGTATTTGAGACCGAATTGAACCCCGGACACCAGTTCTGAACCATAGTGATTATCAACCTTTTGTCCTACAGGAGAAGTCTTATTTTAGAAATTTCGTTTGATAAAAGGGTTACCGATGACGCTGTAAGGTTCGTAGGTAAAAGTTGCCATTTTTAAAGGTCGCCCTAACTGATTTGAGAGTTTGTCGGGGTACAAATTAGCACCAAACAGGAAACTCTGATTCTGTGTGAACCATTTGTCTAGAAGAACAGGTTCGTTGTTGTTGGATGCCCCCACGTATTTGTGGGTTTTGAGTGCGAATGTGGTTATATTGTCTCCCGTGTCAGGTAGAACTAGAAGAAGATCGCTTACGAATTCTAGTTCTTTCAAAGCGAAGAACTCTGGTTCGATTTTTGTTGTAGTGTTGTAAGTTATTATGAGAAATCTTCTTCGGTTGAACCTCTCCATTTTGAGCCGGATTTGGGTTTCAAATTCCACGAAAATTGTCTGTGGGTTTTGCGAATAAATGACTACGCCTTGGCACCCATGGTAGTGGAAAATTAGCCCGTAGTCGACCCACCCATCAGCAATTTTGATTCTGACTGCGGGAATGTGGCCGTCGTAGTCCAGATCGGTGTCGGTAAAAATCAGAAGACATCGATGGTCATCGAAATAACTTCTTAGAATTAAGTTGACCAAAACGTTGGTGTATGAATTGAGCAATAGCATTTTCTTTGTGACATTTTTTGTTGATTTAGTTCTTATATATCCGGGGTGGTATTTATCCAGGATGAATATTTGAGACGCGACTTCATTCCTTATGCATCGTATAATTGCGTGTCATGATCTACAACAATTTTTTTCTAGACTTTTGATGAAGACGTTCGGGGTCAGTTTTTTCGGAGCTGCGCAGTTTGTCATTCGAACTGCTAAGGTTTAATGAACAACGCATTTGTGTATTGAGTTTTAATTCAATAAAAAATACCGTTGATGTGCTTGTGTTTTCACAGTCAACATCTAATCTAACTAAAATTGTGACGGAATTATAGGAGTTTCGAAATTATAGAGGAGATGATAATACACGTGTGCGATGTCCTTGTTCGTTGGGGGTGTTCTAGGGCAGTGATTTAGGTGATTTTACGGACGATGGAATTTTTTGGTGTCGGGTTAAGGTGAGTGAAGGTTGTTTTTAAGAAAACTCGTGAGTAATTGGAATTGTCTTTATTAATAATTTTAGTATAATAATCTAGGAAATTTCAGTAACTCTACTAGAAGTATACTATCGTGTGAACAACCACCGAATGACAGATGCAAGAAGATATTTACAATAAAATTGTTCAAAATGGATGAGATGTATCACATGATCGACGAAATTAAGGCTTGTAAAATCTGAACTCAATCTCTTACATACAATACAACGAAACTCATCCAAAATCACAATATGTACAAAAAATCCCTTCGACATCGAAACATTGAACAGCGTCTCCCCTTAAATAAATATTTGAGCTTTCGTTTAACTGTGTTTTAACGTTGGCAACAATGTTGTATTTTAACAGTCGCTGTACAATAACAAATTCGCGATAACCAACCAAAACTTAACCGATATCTCACTATAGTTAGTACCTATCAGATTGTTTGGGTCAAGCGCTATATACAGAGTGGCTCCACCACTGATTGTTCAGGAATTCTAACAGCGAAATGGTTTATTGCTAGATCGTGCGTTTGTTAAGTCACACCGTGCACTTGAAGAACCGTCATTGGAAAAATAGAACAGTTATTGGACCCATATCTGTACAGCTAGCTACGAATCAAATATTTACATGATGATCATGAGTAGATGAGTGAATTCTACGCAATAAAAGTCACCAGTGTTCAGAATTGAGTACGCCATCATCAAAAATTGACTTGTTCTTTGTACAAAATTATAAAAGAACGAACGGAACGACGAGAAGGTCAGATTAAGGCTTGTGGCTTGAAGAGACCCTCTGAACACTATTCTTACAACTAGAGTGTTAAAATTTTATTGAGGTACTACCGTACGACGATCTAGAGTCGGGGGTTTGGTCGTGTACACCTGTCATTGACTGATTGGTAGATCGGGATGAGTCGAGCTTGAGATATGTCATGAGTGTCTGCCAATGTCAGCGAGTTTATTAATACTGATTGTGGATATGCGGGGCCCATGAAATTGGTACCACGGTACGAACAACCACCAAAGCAACCCCTGTGTTCAACTTGGTGTTTGCAGCTTTCCTAACCCCACTTTTCGCCAGAACCGGTTATTTCTAGTAAGTGTGTAATAAAAATCGGCAGTTAAGTGTTGTTCCGTGGTCGTCCGCCCCCAGCACCACGTCGACCCCGATCAAAATGATAACCGCAACGTCCTAGCCTACAGTTGAGGGGTTTAAGGGCATTCCTCTCCATTTCCTGAGTTCCGTCTTATTGCAAATCCCGATTTGACTAACATCGAAGAACATCAATCGTAAATTTTTCAAAATTTGGCACTTTCATCACTAACATCCCGGAAACAGAACGGATGTTATTTTAAAGCGATTGGGAACATCCTTTGGCATCACTTCTAGCTGAAAAAGTCGTTAAAGGTGTACTACTCGATATCGTTCCTAAGTCCCGCTTTGAACTCCGGAGGAACTTGTTTCTGGAAGCAGTCGTCGAAAAACTGGCCCATGCTCCTGTAGAGGTGCTTTTTCACGCCGCCCAAGCCGTGGCTTTCGTCCGGGTAAATCTGGAACGAGGGGATTAGTGCGCGGAAGTGGAAGGGCGTTACGGGGATTACTTGCTGTCGGAAGAGGGTTCCTGCCTCCGACAGGGATTTCACTAAAGCCATGGACTGCTGGAGGTGGACGTTGTCGTCGGCGGAGCCGTGCACTAGGTAGAACATTTTGTCGCGGAGGAGGTGCGCTTTTTTGCTGACGTCGGCTTCGTCGTAGCCCTTGTAGTTGTCGGTCACGTTGGGCAAGCCCATGTAGCGCTCGGTGTACGCGGAGTCTGGAAAATACGTCTTTAATTATTAAGAGAATAAATTTTCGTTGATTAGCATTATATTAATAATAATTTAAGCTTCAATAAAAAATTTATAAGTGAAAGGTGTTACGAAAAAAAATGACCTAGATTTTTGATCTTGATTTAGTTGGTAGGAAATTTTCATTAAAAAAAAATGCACTCTGACATGCACGAGGCATTGGTCACGCTTCTGAGACGCAAATTCCATGGTTGTTGCAATTATAAAAGAATATTTTCGCTGTTTAACAATTTTAGGTAATGAATTGTTTCTAGTATTAATTAATTTCCTTTGTTTTATGATTTTTATTTTAACAAGAAGAAACGTAATTAGGCCACACAAATGTATGAATAATAAATATTTTCCATTAGAATAAAACTAAGCTTTTAGTTTCACAATAGGTTTCAGAAAATCAATAATGTGAACTCTAATAATTAATAAACTGAGTTGGTTCTTTCATTGCGTTGTATTAATGTTGTCACAGGAAAAAATAAGGATGTAAAAATACCGATGAGGGAAAATTAATTCATCCAAATGGAGTTTAGGTAAAAATTTTATTTTTTTTTGTGTCTCAATGCTTTTTAATTTTGTTTTGATGTTTTTTTTCCTATTTATTATTCAAAATATTTTTTTATGTTATCGCTATCATCATAGGTTTCATGTTGTTACAAACTTTTGTATTTCGGTATACAAATAAGTTTGCCTTATGTGTGTCAAATTCGAGTCTTCGGCCATTATGAAGTTAATTACTTTCTTTAATTAATTTTATAACATGCTGGAAATTGATTTTTAATTTTTTTGTTTCTTCAGTTTTTCGATTTTTCAAGATTTGGATTGTCAGTTTTCAATAAATTAATAAATAATTTTTCAATTTGAGTTTGTCAAGTTTACAGTCTTAAATTTTTCAACTTGTCGACTTTACAATTTTTTATATATTCAATTTTAATTTTTCCAATTTTTCGTTTCTTTAATTTTTCATTTCTTCAAATTTTTGATTAGCAATTTTTCGTTTCGTTTTATTTTCTTTATTTTTTCGGTTTTTCAACCTTCTGATTTTAAAATTTTCTTTTTTCAATGTGAAATCAGTAAATTTTTGGATTTTCCAATTTTTCGAGTTGCAATTTTTCGGTTTTCCATTTTTCGATTTTTCAACTTCCAAATTTTTCAATTTTTAGTTTTATAATTTTTAGATTTGAGTTTTTCGAGTTTTCAATCTTTGATTTTTCCATTTTCCGTTTGGCTTTTTTATTTTATTTATTTTTTCATTTATTCCATGTTTCAACGATGTTATAATTTTTTGTATTATCTATTTAATTTTTTTTTTATTTTTCGTTTCTTCAGTTTTCAATTTGCGATTTTTAGATTTAAAATTTCTCGAGTTTTCATTTTTTAATTTTTTACTTTTTCGATTCTTTAATTTTTCATTTCTTCAAATTTTCGATCTGCAATTTTTCGTTTCAGTTTTTTAATTTCTTTACGTTTTAAATTTTTCGCTTTTTCATTGTTTTGACTTTAAAATTTTCTTTTTTCAATGCCAAATTTTAAATTTTTGTATTTTTCAAACTTTTGCTTTGCAATTTTTCGGTTTTCCATTTTTCGATTTTCCGACTTTTATATTTTTTGATTTTTAGTTTTGCAACTTTTCGATTTGAGTTTCTCGAGTTTTCAGTCTTCAATTTTTGAATTTGTGTTTAATTTTTTTTATTTTTTCCATTATTCGCTTTTTCAGTATTTCGATTTTATAATTTTTTTATTTTCAATTCAATAAAATTTTTTTCGACTTTTCGCTTCTTCAGTTTTTCGTTTCTTCAATTTTTAGTTTCTTCAGTTTTATGATTTTCGATTTTTCGATCTAAAAGTTCTCGAGTTTTTAATTTTTAATTTTTCGATTTAAAATTTCTCTAGTTTTCAAGTTTTAACTTGAATTTCTCGATTTTTTTATTTTTCCCTTCTTCAAAATTTCAATTTGCAGTTTTTCTTTTCTTCAGTTTCGGTTTTTATTTTCTTTATTTTTTTTCAATTTTTTGGTTTTTCAACCTTCTGACTTTAAAATTTCCTTTTTTCAATGTGAAATCTTTAAATCTTTGGATTTTTCGATTTACCACTTTTCGGTTTTCCATTTTTCAATTTTTCAATCTTTAGACTTTTGCATCAACAGTTTTTCATTTTTGGGTTTGAGTTCCAAGTAAATTTTTGGATTTTCCAATTTTTCGAGTTGCAAGTTTTCGGTTTTCCATTTTTTGATTTTTCAACTTTTATATTTTTCAGTTTTTAGTTTTGCAATTTTTCGATTTGAGTTTCTCGAGTTTTCAATCTTTAATTTTTCAATTTTTCATTTGGGTTTTTTATTTTCTTAATTTTTTTAACTATTCGATTTTTCAATATTACGATTTTATTATTTTTTGTATTTTCAATTTTAATTTTTTCAAGTTTTTGCTTCTTCAGTTTTTCGATTTTCGATTTTCCAATTTAAAATTTCTGGAGTTCGATTTTTTAATTTTTCATTTCTTCAAATTTTTATTTTCAATTTTTCGCTTTTCAAATTTTTCGAGCTGCAATTTCTCCATTTTTCGATTTTTCAACTTTTAGATTTTCCAATTTTTAGTTTTTCAATTTTTCGATTTGAGTTCCCCGAGTTTTTTATCTCTAATTTTTCAATTTTGGTTTCGGTTTTTTATTTTCTTTATTTTTTCAGTTATTTAATGTCTCAGTTTATAATTTTTGTTATTTTCAGTTATCATTTTTTCAATTTTTCGTTTTTCAAGTTTTTCGATTTAAAATTTCTCGAGTTTTCAATTTTTAATTTTTCAAATTTTCGTTTCTTTAGTTTTTCATTTCTTAAAATTTTCATTTTACAATATTGTTTTCGGTTTTTTATTTTCTTAATCTTTACAGTTTTTCGGGTTTTCAATATTTTGACTTTTCTTTTTTCATTGTGAAATCTTTAAATTTTTAATTAGACAATATTTCGGTTTTCCATTTTTCGATTTTTCGACTTTTAGTTTTTTCTTTTTTTAGCCTTGCACTTTTTCGATTTGATTTTCTTGAATTTTTAATCTTTAATTTTTCGGTTTTTCGTTTCGGTTTTTTATTTTCTTTATTTTTTCGCCTATTCGATACGATTTTATAATTTTTTTATTTTCAATTTCAATTTTGCAATTTTTTTTCCAATTTTTAGTTTCTTCAGTTTTTCGATTTGCGATTTTTCGATTCAAAATTTCTTGAGTTTCAATTTGTAATTTTTCGTTTTGAAATTTTTCGAGTTTTGAATTTTTAAATTTTTCAGTTTTTCGATTCTTTAATTTTTTTAAGAAATTCAAATATTCGATTTGCAATTTTTCGTTTAGGTTTTTATTTTTTAATTTTTTCAATTTTTCGGATTTGCAATCTTCTGATTTTAAAATTTTTTTTTTTCAATGTGAAGTCTTTAAATTTTTGGATTTTCCAATTTTTCATTTTTTCAACTTTTACATTTTTCAGTTTTTAGTTGTTTCAATTTTAGATTTTTCAGTTTCTCAACTTTTCAGTTTTTCGTTTCTTCAATTTTGATTTGCAATTTTTCTAGTTTTCGTTCTAAATATGTAATAATAATTATAATTCTTAAAATTTTTCACTTTTTAATTTTACGATTTTTCGTTAATTCTTTCCAATTTTTAGATTCATCGATTTTCCGACTTTTAATTTTTTAGATTTTTTATTTTTCAATATTTCGATTTTTCGTTTCTTTAGTTCTTCTTTTTGCAGTTTTGCGATTTTACAATTTTTCGATTTTGCAATTTTTGATTTCACAGTTTTAGATGCTTTAATTTTTACTTTTTTCAAGTTTAGATTTTTCAGTTTTTCGTCTCTTTCATTTTTGATTTACAAAATTTCTAGTTTCCAATTTAAATATGTAATTATAACATTTTTTAAAATTTTACATTTGTTTAATTTTACGATTTTAGAATTTTTCGGTAGTTCAATTATTCGGATTTAAAACTTTTATTTACTGGGTTTTTCAATTTTTCCATTTTTAATTTTCTATTTTTCAATAGTGTTACAGTTTTGCGTATTCTATAATTTTTCGATTTTACAATTTTTCGACTCGATTCGGTTTTTCTTCTTTCAAATTTTTAGGTTCATTGATTTTTTTTTTCTATTTTTTAGGTGGATTTTTGTTTTTCGATGTTCCGATTTTTCGTTTCTTCAGTTTTCCAACTTTTTAGTTTTTCGGTTTTTCAATTTTTGCAAATAAAAAAATGGAAAAATTGCAAAACTATAAAATCGAAAAATCAAAAATGAAAAAACGAAAAAGTATAAAATGAAGACTTTGAAAAATCTAAAAACTGGAAATTAGGAGTTTGAAAAATTGAAGGAATGGAAAAATTGAAAAATCGAAAGATTCAAAATCGGCAATCTTAAAAATCGAAAAAGGGTAAAACCGAAATCGTGAAATCGGAATCCAGGAGTTAAATCAAATATTGCAAATTTCAAGAATTTAATAATCCCAGATTATAAAATCAAAGAAAAATTGAAACAATCAAGGAAATAAAAAACGAAAAACTCTGATATAAAAATAAGGAAATGATAACTAAAAACACGACAATAGAAAAATAAAAATCACGAATTTGAAAAATCGGGGAAATGGAAAATTGAAAAATCGATAAATTAAAAAGTAAGAAACTAAAAAAACTGTAATATTGAAAATTTGCAAAAACATTGGAGAAACGAAAAATAAAAAAAATTAGAAGTGAAATACGAAAAATTATTGTGATATCAATAAATTGGTCGAACGAAAATAAATCCAGGTTTTTCGGAGATAGTAAGATTTGATTTTGCGAATTTTATTTTTTTACGATAATCCTTGTAAGTTGAAATAAAGTGAAAAATCAAGACGATTCATACCCCACAAGTGCAGAAGTATCTTATTTGATAAAAACAGATTTAGTTTTGTAGTTTTTGGAAATGACGTCATCAAAAAAATGTTTTTTGACAACAAAGAGTATAGAATATATATAAGAATAAAAATCTGAACAGACGGCAGACAGACAGACAGACAGACAGACAGACAAACGGAAACGGCAGACCTATTTTTTCGTACTCTAGGGGTCATAAAACGTCGTGCCAGTCGTCCACGAGACTCTGTTACAAGACATCCTTGACTCATCCTCGAGAAATACAAACACAAAGTTGTCATTATGTTCTTGATTGTTAATTATAATGAAGATACCGTACAGTTAGTATCGATTACAGCTATATTGTAGATTGAATTAGAAACAAGTACATCGTATTAGAAAATAGCCTGTTCGTTTGAACGGGAACGCTAATAGGAAACCATTACACCGTAATATGTCTCTACAAAATCAGATAACTGCATTCCAAACATACTCAAAACTTTGCCAGCATCTCACCGTAAAGCTTCCAGTTGGTAACGGGGGCAACTGCGATGGCACATCGAAAGACGCTCTTGGGACTCGCCAGCGCTAATGCCGCCACGAAGCCACCATAACTCCATCCCCAAACGGCCACCCTCCGCTTATCGATAAAGTGGAGAGTATCTCTCAAGTATCTGCAATTTTTCCCAATATTAACCACTCCATTAAGTCGTAAAGACGCGAAGAAAACCAGAGCCATTTTCAAACAACTGAACTCGTCTAATATTCCTTAGGAGGTTATCTCGGAAGGGTGGATAGGAAGGATCTGAGGAGTAAATTACGGCCATCGAGCCGAATAGGCTTGTCTTTTTTCGGCAATAAGATAAACAGGGAGCTTAGGGTTGTATTCGTCGCTGGCGATCTCCGTCCGACGCTCACCTAATATTCCTTAACACGTCCTCCTTAAAAGGGTAGATAGAGGGTTAAATTACCCCAGCAGGCCTCGGTGTTGCGTTTTTCGTGCGAGAACGTAAACACCACACAATGCCGCCCTTTGTTGCCGCACAAACAAGCAGAGTCAATATTTATGATGGGAGATAATTGTCCATTGATAAGATAAATAAAAGGATGGTTCGGTTGGGACGCTGCCAGGACCGGATTCGCGCTAAGTCAGTCCACAACTCATACTTTTACGACGGTTATTTGTAGCGGTGTTTGCGAATTCGGGCGTGAATTATGGCACTCGCTAATTCGGACAATCGGGGAATTTATGCACTGGAATTGGCGAAACTTACTCGGTTACTTCCAACTGATCCGCCACCTCCACCGACCCCAATTTGTAGTAAACTTTGTGGAGGAGGGAGTGGCCTTGACCCCCGGATCCTCGACCGTCGATTTGGGCGATGATAAAGTCTTTGTGACCTGTCAGGTACGTGTTCCAATCGATTCTCCAGCGCTCTGTCACCAGCTGACTGCCAGGGCCGCCGTACACTTGGACGACCAGGGGGTACCTGGAAAAAATTCCCGTGAATTCCAACTGGTATAAAAATAGCGTGTCGGTACTTCTCGGTATCATGTATATTTTGTCGTTAATAATAATAAATGTAACTAATTTTAAATTACCGTTAAAAACATTGTTCAAAAATAGCAGGGAATCACAGCAGGAAGATCATTGATAAAAAACAAAAACAACAAGGGGCCTAAGTTTGATCCCTCTGGAACCTCGGAAGATGGAACGAATAGTATAGAACTAAAGTTTCTGTACTTGATAAATGGAATTCTACCAGTCAAGTAAGAGGTTAGAAGTTTCAATAACGGATTTGTGAAAACAATGTTGCTGTTCAGCTTCTCGAGACGGATACATGGAACGGTGTTATGTTTCAGAAGGATAGTTTACTGACTGTCCTGAAATCTTGGATTCTAGCTAAGTCGGCATTATAGAATTCATTTTTGCCATTAGTTGTTCGATATTTCCTCAGTTTCACCCGGAAATGTGCAATTTCCTTATCCGAAAAACGATTCGAGCTTTACGTCAGTGAATTGCCTGAAATTTTTGAGTGATACTGTTTAAATTTCAGCTGGGATTTTCTATTCGTTTAGTTTTCTGGGATGGATATGTGGAAAAGCGTCAAATTTCAGAAAAGTAGATCACTGAAAAATTTCAAAAAAATTCAGGAGGCTCCTAAAAGGTTTTCTAAGTCTAAATTTTTATTCACAAGATTTGAATTAGTAGCAGCTGCAAGTTTCAAGAAGCTGAGAGAGATAGTCCGAAATACATAATCGAAATCGGAAAATTTGACGAAATGCAAATATCGGAAAAAACGAAAATTTTCAGATCGACCTGAAATTTTCAATTCTAGCTAACTTGACATTACAGCATTCATTTCTGCCAGAAATATGCATTTTTCGTATCCGAAAAACCGTTTTTGAGTTTAGGGTCTGATAACTCTGGAACAGAACAACTTGGAGATTCAAGCTTTAGACACTGTTTAAATTTCAGCTGGGATTTTCTATTCGTTTAGTTTTCTGGGATGAATATGTGGAACAATGTCAATTTTCAGAAGGATAGACCACTGAAAAATTTCAAAAAAACCAGTATGCTCCCAAAAAATTTTCTAAGTCCAAATTTTCATTCAGAAGATTTGAATTTCAAGAAGCTGAGTGCTTGTATAAGAGAGATAGTTCGAAATAATCGAAATCGGAAAATTTTACGATATGCAAATATCGTGATAAGGCGAAAATGTTCATATTGACTTGAAATTTTGGATTCTAGCTAAGTTGGCACTGTAAAACACATTTTCGTTATTTGCCTTTCGATATTCCTTCAATTTCAACCGAAAATGCGTATTTTCCGGATCCGAAAATCTGTTTTTGAGTTTAGGATTTGATAACTCCGGAACAGAAAAACGTGGAGATTCGAGCTTTACGTCAGTGGATTGTCTGGAATTTTTTTGAGTGGCGTTGACTAATTATTATCAGTTAGGATGTTCAATTCGTTTAGGTTTCCGGAATGGATATATGGAACTGTGTCAGTTTCCTTGCAAAAATGTACAATTTTCAACATGTTTCAAATTTGTTGTTGTGAAAAGATGGCGATATACATTAAAAAGAAAGGCAAAATATAAGCCTGCCCACCCACCCTATCTCAATTCTGATGATTTTTTTATTCGTCGTAAGTCGAGGGGCGGATCCTTATTGCAAAATCCATATTGCCTTACAAAAATTTACTATTTTAAACGTGTTTTAAGTTTCTTAGAATAAAAAAAAGTCATCACAATTGAGATGGGGTGGGTGGGCGGGGTTTATATTTTGCCCTTTTTTCTTAATATATATAGTATTTTTTGAACAAAACGATACTCAAAAACATGTTTTTAATTTCTTGTAAAGAAACAAGTATTTTGCAGCTAAGCTTCGCCCCCTTGGTTCACGGCCAATAAAAAAAAATAATCACAATTGAGATAGGGCGGGTGGGCGGTCTCACATTTTGCCTTTTTGTTTTAATATGTGGAGACTTCTTTTCACAACATGAAATTTAAAACATGTTTAAAATGGAAAATTTGTATAAGAAAATATCGATTTTGCAATTAGGCTTCGCCCCATAATTGCAAAATCCATATTTCCTTGCAAAATGTACCATTTTAACCATGTTTTTTTTTCTTTTGAAAAGATGGCGATGTACATTAAGAAAAAACAGGCAAAATATAAGCCCCGCCCACCCACCCTATCTCAATTCTGATGATTTTTTTATTTACCATTTTAGACATGTTTTAGGTTTCTTGTTTTGAAGAGATATTAAGAAAAAAATGCAAAAGGTAAGCCTCGCTGAGAAATTCTAAAAAATCCAGGAGGCTCCCAAAAGATTTCTAAGTCAGAATTTCGATTCAGGAGATTTGAATTAGTAAAGACTCAAAGTTATAAGAAGCTGAGTGCTTGTATAAGAGAGATAGTCCGAGATAATCGAAATCGGAAAATTTGACGGTATGCAAATATCGTGAAAAGTCAAAATATGCAGGTCGACATGAAATTTTGGATCTCAGCTAAGCTGGCACTCTAGAATTGACTTCCGTTATTAGTTTTTCGATATGCCTTTAATTTCACCCGAAGATTCGTATTTTCCGGATCCGAAAAACTTTTTTTGAGTTTAGGGGCTGATAAGTCCGAAAAGGAAATGGAGATTCGAGCTTTACGTGAATAGATTGTCTGGAATTTTTGAGTGGCACTGGTTAATCTTCAGCCAGGATTTTCAATTCGGTTAGGGTCCCAGGATGGATATATAGAACAGTGTCAGTTTTCAGAAAGGTAGATCACTGAAAAACTTCAAAAAATCCAAAATGCTCCTAAGAGCTTCTCTGAGTCTAAGTTTTTATTCAGGAGATTTGATTTAGTAAGGACTGATAGATTCAGGAAGCTGAATGTCCATCTAAGGAAGATAGAGAAATAATCGAAATCGGAAAATTTGACGATATGCAAATACGGTGAAAAGTCAAAATATTTTAGATCGACCTGAAATTTTGGATTACAGCTAACTTGGCACTGTATAATTTCGGTCATTAGTTTTCTCGTATCACTTGAATTTGACCAGGAAAAGCTTATATTCCGGATCCGAAAAACTGTTTTTTGAGTTTAGGAGCTCATAACTCCGAAATCGAGAGACGCAGCGATTCGAAGTTTATGTCAGTCGATAGTCGTGAATTCTTCAGTAGCACTAGTTAATTTTTAGCTAGGATTTTCAATTCCTCCATGTTTCCGAGATGGCTATATTAAATGGTATCATTTTTCAAAAGGGTAAATTATTAAAACTTCCAAAAAAATAAGGATGACCCTAAGAGATTTTTTGAGCCTCAGTGCTTATTCAGTGTTCAATTGAATGTCTGTATAAGGGAGAGAGTCCTAAATAATCGAAACCGGAAAATTGCCGATATAGAAAGATGAAAATTTTCAGATAGACCTGAAACTTTGGATTGCCATTAGTTGTTCGATATTTCTTCAGTTTTTCCGGATCCGGAAAACTTTTTTTGAGTTTAGGGGTTGAAAACTCCGGAACAGAAAGACGTGGGAGATTCGAGCATTACGTCAGTGGACTGCTTGGCATCTTTGAGTCATATTGGTTAATTTTCAGGAAGAGTTTTCAATTCGTTGACGTTTCCGAGATGGATAGATCACTGAAAAATTCCAAAAAATCCAGGACTTTTCGAAAAGATTTTCTGAGTATAAATTTTTATTCTGGAGATTTGAATTAGTAAAGATTGGAAGTTTTAAGAAGCGGAGTGTCTGTATAAGGGAGATAGAAATCGGAAAATTTGAAAATATGCAAATATTGTGAAAAGACAAAAATTTTCAGATCAACCTGAAATTATGGATTTCAGTTGTTTTGACGGGGTAGAGCTCATTTTTGCCATCAGTTTTTCGATATTTCTTCAATTTCACCCAAAAATGCGCATATTCAGCATTCGATAAGTATTTTTTGAATTTAGGGGCTTATAACTCCGAAATCGAAAGACGTAGCAATCGGATCTTCACGTTAGTCGATTTCTTGGCATTCTTATATCGCATTCGTTAATTTTCAGACAGGACTCTTAATTCGTTTAGGTTTCCAAGACGGTTATATAAAACGGTATAATTTTTCCGAAAGGTAAATATAAAAAAATTCCAAAAAATCGAAAGGCTTCTAAGAGATTTTCAGAGTCGAAATTTTCATTTAGGAGGTTTGAATGAGTGGACACAGATTGTTTCGAGAAACTGTAGATCTGGATATGGGAAATAATCCGAAATAACTGAAATCGAAAAATTGAATATCGTGAAAAGAGGAAAATTTCAGATCGACCTGAAATTTTGGATTTCAGCTAACTTTGGCAATGTGGAACTCATTTCGGCTATTAGCTTTTCCATATTCCCTCAATTTCACTCGGAAATGTGTATTTTCCGGTTCCGAAAAACTCTATTTTGAGTTTAAGAGCTCATAATTCAGAAATCAAAAGACCTACCGATTCGAGGTTTACGTCAGTCGATTAACTGGAATTCTTGAGTCGTAGTGGTTAATTTTCACCCAAGATTCTCAAATCGTTTAGGCTTCCGGGACGGCTATACTAAATGTTATCATTTTTCAAAAGAGTACATTACTGAAAAATTCCCCCAAAAAAAATCAGGAGGCTCCTGAGAAATTTTTGAGCCTTAATTCCTCTTCAGAAGTTTTGAATTAGTATAACAGAAACTTCCAGGACGTTGAGTGTCTGTATAATGGAGCGAATCCGAAATAACCGAATCCGGAAAATTGCCGATATACAAATATCGTAAAAAGACGCAAATTTTTTGGTCGACCTGAAATTTTGGATGCTGGCTGACTTGGCATTACAGAATTCATTTCTGCCATTGGTTGTTCGGTATTATTTCAGTTTCACCCGGAAATGCGCATTTTCCGTATCCGAAAAACTGTTTTTGAGTTTAGGGGTTGATAACTCCGGAACAGAAAACTTGGAGATTCGAGCTTTATGTCAGTGAACTGTCTGGAAATTTTGAGTGGCATTGGCTAATTTTCAGTTAGAATGTTCAATTCGGTTAGGTTCCCGGGATGGATATATGGAACAGTGTCAATTTTCAGAATCACTGAAAAATTTCAAAAAATCCAGGATGCTCCTAAAAGCTTTTCTGAGTCTAAATTCTTATTTAGAAGATTTGAATTAGTGAATGCTCGAAGTTCCAAGAAGCTGAGTGCTTGTATAAGAGAAATAGTCCGATATAATTGAAATCGAAAAATTTGACGAATGTAAAAATATCGTGAAAAGACGAGCATTTTCAGATCGACCTGAAATTTTTGATTCCAGCTAAGTGGGCACTGTAGAACTCATTTCCGCCATTAGCGTTTCGGTATTCCTTTAGTTTCACCAGAAAATGCGTATTTTTCACATCCAAAACAAGGTTTTTGATTTTAGGGTCTGAAAACTCCGGAAAAGAAAAACGTGGAAATTCGAGCTTTACGTCAGTGGATGATCTGTAATTTTTGAGTGGGACTGCCTAATATTCAATTAGGATGTTCAATTCGTTTAGGTTTCCGGGATGGATATAAGGACTGTGTCAGTTTTCAGAAGGATTAACCACTGAAAAATTCCAAAAAATCCAGGAGGCTCCTAAAAGATTTTCTGGGTCTAAATTCTTGTTCGAGAGATTTGAATTAGTAAAGACTGATAATTTCAAAAAGCTGAGGGTCTGTATAGGGGAGATAGTCCGAAATACATAATCGAAATCGGAAAATTTGACGATACGCAAAAATATCGTTAAAAGACGAAAAATTTCAGATCAACCTGAAATTTTGATTCCAGCTAACTTGGCATTGCAGAAGTCATTTCTGCCATTAGTTTTTCTGCATTCCTTCAGTTTCATCCGGAAATGCGTATTTTCCGGATCGAGCTTTAGGAAATTTTTGAATCACATTAATTGATTTTCAGTCAAGATTTTCAATTTGGTTAGGTTCTTGAGACGGATATTTGGAACATGGCAATTTTCAAAATGATAGATAATTGAAGAAATTCAAAAAAACACATTGTAGAAAAAATCCGCGAAAGCTTCAAGAATTTCAAATGGATTAAGGCCAGCACTTCTAGACGTTCCTTTTTTACTTTGAATAAAACTCCAAATCTTTTTGGAATCAATAGAAAGGGATTGTACTAAACCTAGATATTATATATTTTACCTTTTCTTTATAATATACGTAGTCTTCGTTCACAACAAGAAATAAAACATGTTTAAAATAGTAAATTTTTATAGTGACATTTTGGATTTTATTAGTAATTTTTAATAATTACAGTTTTCTTTGAACAAAACGATTATATAAGAACATGTCTCAGATGGGAGATTGTTTCAGAAAAATAAGGATTTTGCAATTAAGCTCCGCCCCCAACTCACAACAATAAAAAAAAACACTACAATTGAGACAGGGTGGGTGGGTGGGGCTTATATCTTCCTGTTTTTTCTTAATATACATTCTTCTTTTCATAACAATATACTGAAAACTTGTTTAAAATGGCACATTTTTGTGGAGAAATATCGATTTTGCAATTAAGCTCCACCCATCACTCTGACATCGAATGAAAAATTCATCACAATTGAGATCGGAGCGGATGGGCGGGGCTTAATCTTTGGCTTATTTTTCTTAAGATATATAGTTTTCTTTCATCAGTATGCGCCACACATATTGACGTCAAAACTAATACTTTTACTGTCACACAAGATTATCATAATCGAATTCAAACTTTCAGTACCAAAATTTTCCTTAATAATCAGCTTCTCACATGAAAATATGCGAAACGGAAAGAAAATGGCAAAACGTGCTAAAAATGCAACAGGAAAATCGTCAAAGCTTTTTTTGGTTAATGTTAGCTACCTCGTGATTTCGTCCTCCCTCAGCCCCGGGGGCAGATGCAGCCGCACGTGCGCCTGGTACCCTCCCGAGATCTGCACCGGGAACGTCTTGATCTGGGGCATGGCCATCTTGGCCACCATCTCCCTCAGCTTGGTGTTGTTTTGCAGGTTGACGACGAGGTTGGGTTTGGGCATCGCCGTCTTGTACAGGGAGTTGTACGGAATCCCCGGCCCAAGGCACTCTAGCACGTAGTACGTCGACAGCGGACTGAAGATGGCGTTGTGGTACAGACACGCCGGCTCCGTTGGTGTTACTTTCTCCTTCTTCTTCCTTCTCTTCGGCACCGGCGTGATAACGGCTTCCTCGTCCTCCTCGGTCCAGTACTTGGTCTTCATCAGGTAGATCTCTTCGTCGACGAGGAAGTACGGCGGCGAGGTGGGAGCCGGCTCGGGGACGCAGGTGAGGCACACGGGGGGCGGCAGGGTGGCTCCCGTCCGCGGGGGCACCGAGGTCACGCGGTACAGGTGCTGCTGGCCGGGGTTGTTCTCGGGGATGCCCAGGAAGTAGCTATTAATAATAACTAAATAAGCTTTCGAGAAAAATACGGGGTTTCTTCTGAGCGGGAAGTGCTCCATTCCATAAATTGGGTTGATGTCGGGAGATAAAGATACGTCGGACTTGTTGAGTTCCGCATTAATATTTCATGCATGCGAGTGTTGACTTTTTGGGTCAATATTGGACGGAATTGAATTTGCGGAGTAATGGCACGATATGGGAGAGTTTTTAATTTCGTTTTGTTTGGACGACGTCGGGGCTGATGGGAATTCGGATGAAGTTAACGATGCGTTATGGCCGTGACGACATTTTAATTTTTTATTGAAACGAGGTGGGGCTACGCACTTTCTCGAATTGTCTAACATCGTCCATTCAATAATTTAGCCGAAACCCGCACTCTTCCCAGATCTTAATACACCAAAAATGGAAATAGAATCCGCGGCGTTCCTCCCCTTTGCATACAAACAGCATATTAAATGTAAATCCCGGCGTGATTTACTTTTTCTACCCCTTTCGACTGTCGAGCGCTCGCACTTCGGCCGCCTTGAGTGTCTTCGGGGTGCGCACGTCCGTGATAAAAACGTCAAATTACGGCAACAACTTACATGACGTCGTTGGAATGGTCCCAAGTAAGTATACGTGTCACCTCGTACTTTCCGTGTGTGAGCGGAATAATGCGTCTCTTCGGGATGTTGACAGAGACGGCGTGCCGGAAATAACCGGCAGGTCCGTCCCTGACAGGTGCCACGGTGATGTAATTGGAGCTGTCGCGCCCGAAAACGGGACTGTCGCCCATGTCCACCCATCCGTGGCCGTCGCTGCTGATCCGCTGGGTCTGCAAAAACGATTATTGGAAAAATATTGGCTGGCGCGGGGCGGGAGCTGGGTGGGGGTTGGGTGCGTAAAGGGTCGGATGAACACGTGCTTTCGCGACGAGGGGTTGACCACCAGGAAATTTGTGTACACACATTTACCGTATTTATTACGTTTACCAAGCTTTTATAAAATTTTTAATTTTGTTGCCATTTCGAGCAAACAAATTTTCTTTTTTGTTTTACGTGAGTTGGATAAACTGATTAATTGACAAAATGGTATATTGGAGGCTGATTTACCATTTTTATTGTTATTTTAAAATCGTATTATCAACTTGCAACATTTCTGACTTCTGTTATTAAAATTAAAAATGCCGAAAATTATTTTGTTACAACAAAAAGTTTTAGTAAATAGTCCAAAAATCCAAAGATCGAACATCGAACTAAAAAAAACGAAAAATTAAAACATCCAAAAATTGAAAAGTATCCAAAATTGAAATGTCGATATTTCAATGTTTAATTTATTTATATTTTAGATTTTTCAATTTTTCCGTTTTATTATTTCTATTTTTTCTTTTTTTGCAATTATATATTTTTTGATTTTTTAATTTATTGATATTACGACTTCTTAATTTCCACTTCTCAGCTATGCGATTTTAAAAATTATTCGACTATACTATATTTTAAAAATTTTTCGACTATACGATTTTTCAAGTTGTCGATTTTTAACTTTTTTAGAAAATTGAGAAATTGAAAGGCTGAAAAATCGAAAAACCGAGAAATCGAAAATCCACAATTCTAAAAATCATAAAAATTGATTAACCATAACATTGAAGACTCGAAAAACTCAAAATCAAAAATGTAAAAATTCGAAAGACTGAAAAATATTGATAAATCGAGAACCTGAAAAGTCGAAAAATCCAGAAATCAAGATTGAAAAATCAAATCGAAAAGTGGAAAAATTGAAAAGTCGAAAAATAGAAAAACCGAGAAATCGAGAGATCGTAAATCCAAAGTATAAAAACTTGCAAAATTTGAAAATTCGGAAATTTAAAAAAATCGAAAAAGTGAAAAATTCGGCAATTGAAGAATTTCAAAACTGAAATGATGAAAAATTGGAAAATAGGAAAATTCAAAAATCCAAATATCGAAAAATTGGAAAATCGAAAAGCAGAAAATTTGAAAAACTGAAAAATCTGTGAATTGAGAAATCTATACTTCTAAATATTGAAAAACTGAGATATCGAAAAATCGAAACATCAAAAGATTGAGAAATGAAAACAAAAGTCAAGAAGTCGAAAAATTGGAAAAATTGGAAAAATTGGAAAAAAAAACGAGAAATCGAGAACTCGAAAACTTTAACATTTTAAAAACTGAAAAATCGAAAGATCAAGAAATCGAAAAATTTCAAAAATTGAAAAATCGATAAAGTAAAAAATCGAGTATTGCAAAATATAGAAACTGAAAATTCGAAATATTGCAAAATCCCAAATTTGAAATACATACAGAAAAACTGAAAAATTCCAAAAGGAAATTATATAAGACTTGAAAAATCGAAAAGCTAAAAAATCGAGAAATCAAAAACTCTAAATGTCGAAGTTAAATTTTAAGTCTGAAAATCGAAAAATTGAAAACCTAAAAAATTTAAAAATCGAAACATTGAAATGTCAAGGAATCGAAAAATGGTAAAATCAAAAATCAGTTGGTTGCAATTAAGAAATTGAAAAATTGAAAATTTAGAAATGTCGAAAATTGAAAAATTGAAGCCTAAAATTTGAAAAATCGTAAAAATAAAACAGGAAAATTGAGACATCGAAAAATGAAGAAACCGGAAAATCAAAAAATGAAGAACTCGAGAAATCCAGAATTTGAAGAATCGAGAAACTGAAGAATTTAAAAATCGAAAAACTAAAACATCCAAAAACTGAAAGAAAAACGATCGATTTTGCAACTTTTCTATTTCTCGATTTTCCAATTTTTCGATATTTAATTTTTTTTAATTTGATTTTTCGAATTTTCAATTTTTCAGTTTTTTGATATTATTTGATGATTTTAAAAATGTTTGATTTTTGAGATTTTTAATTTTTCAATTTTTTTTTTCGATTTTACGACTTTTTAATATTTCCATATCTTGCTATGCGATTTTTAAAAATTCTCGACTTTACGATTTTTCAAGTTTTCGATTTCTCACTTTTTCAGAAAATTGTAAAATTGAAAAACCGGAAAATCCGAAATTCTAAAAAATTGTAAAAAATGAATTTTTGAGTGCAAAATTGAAAAATTTAAAAATCGAAAACTTTTAATAACCGGATAACCTAGAGGAAAATAAATCGAAACATCAAAAATCGTAAAATCGAAATATTGGAAAATCTTGGAATGAAAAATTTCTAAAATCGAAAAATTGTTAAATCCAAAATTGAAAAACAGAAATAACGAAGAACTGAAAAATCCAGAAATCGAGAACACCAAAAAATCCAAAATTGGAAAAAATTGAAGACTCGTAAATTCGAAGAACTGAAAAATCACAAATCCAAAATTTAAAAAATTGCAAAATTTGAAAATTTGGGGAATTAAAGAATCGAAAAATTGAAAAATAGAGGAATTGAAAAAATCCAAAATTGTAAAGATTAAAAATTAGGAAACAGGGAAACTCAAAAATCCAAATATCTAAAAATTGGAAAATCGAAGTCAAAAAGTTGAAAAATCGAAAAATCGATGAATTGAAAAATCGAAACATCAAAAGATGGAAAAATGAAAAAGTCGAGAAGTTGAAAAATTGGAAAAATCGGGAAAAATGAAAAAATCGAGAAATCGGAACATCAAAAATTCGAAAAATTGAAAAAAACGATAAAATATAAAAACTGAAGAATCGAAATATTGTAAAATCCCAAAACTGAAAAATAGAGAAGTTGAAAAATGGAATAAAAATTGAAAACTCGAAAAATTGAAAAATCCCAAAACTGAAATATTGAAAAATTGAGAAATTGAAAAACTAAAAAATCAAGAAATCGAAAACTCTAAATGTCGAAGTTGAAAATTCGAAAAACTGTAAAATTAAAAGTCTGAAAATCGAAAAATTGAAGAACTGAAAAACTGAAAAATCGACGAATTGAGAAATTCCAAAACTGAAATGATGAAAAATTGGGAAATAGGAAATTTAAAAAATTCTAATATCGAAAAATTGGAAAATCGATACATATTGAACAACTGACACATCGAGAAATCGAAACACTAAAAGATCGAGAAATGAAAAATTCGAGAAGTCGAAAAATCGAAAAATTGAAAAATTGTTGAGAAATTGAGAAATCGAAAACTCGTAAAATTTCATATTTTAAAAACTGCAAAAATTGAAAAGTCGAGAAATTGAAAAGTATCCAAAATTGAAAGTCGATTTTTTGATTTTAGATTTTTTAATTTGTCAGCTTTTCTATTTCTCGATTTTTCAAGTTTTCAAAATTTGAATTTTCAATTTTTTTAATTTTTCGATTTTTCGATTTTAACCATGTTTGATTTTTCAGTTTTTTTAATTTTTTACTTTTTTGTAATTTTATTTTTTTCGATTTTTTAATTTTTCGAATTTCTGACTTTTTAATATTTCCATTTGTTGACATCTAGGGTACGCGATTTTTAAAATTTTTCGGGTTTACAATTTTTCAAGTTTTCGATTTCTCACTTTTTCAGCAAATTGAAAAGCCGAAAAATCGAAAAACCAAGAAATCGAAAACCCAAAATTGTAAAAATCACAAAAATTGAAAAATCGGAAAATTGAAGAGTTGAAAAACTGATAAATCGAAAAATTTAAAAATCAAACAATTTTAAAATCGAATAATGAAAATTTTAAAAAAATCGAAAAATTAAAAAATCAAAAACTGGAAAATCAAAAATGTGATAACTCGAAAACTTGAAAAACAGAAATATCGAGGAACTGAAACATCGAAAAATCCAGATATCGAGAAACAGAAAATTCTAAAATTAAAAAAATTGAAAACGAATGTCGAAAGAATTAAAAACTCGAGATATTGAAAAATCGAGAAATCGAACACCAAAAAATCGATAACTGGGAAACGCTGAAAACTCGAAGAACCGAGAAATGGTAAATCCAAAATTTTAAAAATAGCAAAATTTGAAAATTCGGAAAATTAAAAATCGAAAACTTGAAAAATTGAGGAATTAAGAAAATGCCAAACTGAAATGATGAAAAATTGGGAAACAGGAAAATTCAAAAATCCAACAATTTATTTATTTAGTTATTTATCGATATATTTAAATATTGAAAAATTGAGCAATCCAGAAATCGAAACATCAAAAAATCGAAAAATTGAAAAATTGAAAAATCTACTAATTAAAAAATCGAGTAACTGAAAAATATAAAAACTGAACACGAAATATTGCAAGATCCCAAAATTGGAAAATCGAACATCTGGAAAAGCGAAATATCGAAATCCGAACAGTCGAAAAATCCAATAATCGAACATCGACCCATCAAAAAATTAAAATTGAAAAGTCGATTTTGAGATTTCGATTTTTTAATTTTTCAATTTTACTATTTGTCGATTTTTCAATTTTTCGATATTTTAACTTTAAATTTTTTTTAAATTTTAGACTTTTTCAGTTATTTGATGATCCTATTTTTCGCTTTTTCGATCTTATGTTTTTTTATATTTTTGTTTCTTAATTTTTACTTTTTCTTTTTTATTTTTCGATTTCTCAATTTTTCGATTTTATGACTTAACAATAATAATATTACCATTCATTGACATCTCTGCTACGCTATTTTAAAAATTTTTCGACCTAACGATTTTTCAAATTTTCGATTTCTCACTTTTCCCGAAAATTAAATTAAATGTGACAATTCTAAAAATTGAAAAACAGAAATATCGAAGAACTGAAAAATCGAAAAAATCTAGAGATCGAGAAACCGAAAAATCTAAGATTTCGATACTGAGACAATTAAAAATCTGAAAATCGAAAAATTGAAGAACTGAAAAACTGAAAATTCGAAATATTGAAAAGTCTAGAAAAATGGGAGAATCAAAAATCAATTAGTCGAAATTGAGAAATCGAATAACTGAAAATTTAGAAATGTCGAAAATTGAAAAAGTGAAAAATTGAAAAATCAAAAAATTGAAAAATCGTGAAACTAAAACCTCGGAAAGTCGAGAAACCGAAAAATGAAGAAATCGAGAAATCAAAAAATGAAGAAATCGAGTAATCAAAAAACTGAAGAATTAAAAATTTGAAAAATCCCAACGCTGAAACATGGAAAAATTGGGAAACAAAGTTAAAAATTCGAGAAATCGAAAAGTCGAAAAATCGAAAATTCGAAAAATTGGGAAGTGGAAAATTTGTTATGTCTACAATTTTGATTTTTTTTCCAAAAGTCAATTGGTCGAAAGTTATTTCTACAAGTCTTCCCTCGCCCCCGAAATGCAGGCAACAAGTACCGCTTCTTTGAAAAATAAAAAAATATGGTAAATTGCATTTCTCGTTTGGGATCTTTACCCATAGGAAATTGGTTGCCAACCAATTTATATTTCCATTTCTTGTCTAAAAACATCCTGAACGGTATATAGATAATGCGCGTAGCAAAAATAATGGATCTTGGTCACTTGTGCGCCGCGGTCTAACCTCCATAAAGTTCAGAGGACACTTGCGCTCAAATAGAGAATTTATAAGTTATTTCTCAACTAGCTGTTTTATTTTTTATAAAATGCACTTATTGGTAGAAAATGTAAGAGAAATAAAAATATTTTGGGCTCTATATTATATTTGAAGATTAATAAATTCGTCTGTAATTGTGTGAATGTTAAATTATTTCTCAGAATACTTATTTATTTTAATCTGACTAACACCCACATAAACTACTACCATCTGCAGATTTTTCTGACCGTGGCGCGCAACTGACCTATGCCGAAATAATAGTTATTGTGACAATTACGATTTAGCGTACACGACATTTACTAGGTGGTCAACCCCATTAGATTCACGAGGGTTTTAGATGAAGTGCACGGAAGTTGGTGCCGTGACCAGGATTCACAGGGGTCTAAACACTCCAAGATCAAAGCTTTTTTGCCTTTCAGATTACTTAATTTGTGGAACTTTAAAGTCGCAACTTGATTTATGTACAAAGCGGAATTGATTTTTAAGGTATCGAAGAACCTGCTTTACTTCGTTTTTTCTGGTCGCGAAACAAGATCAAACAAAATCGGCTACAGGAAGGAGTCACAAGGTTATAAGGGAATTGGTTGTTCTTCTTAGCCTTGTTAAAATTTATTTTAAAAGGAGACATCAATGCGGACTTTTCGTTATAGTCCGTTTAGCGAACAGATGGAGTGTACATACAAAGCACACAGTTTGGGTTTGTTCGTAGTCTGAATAAAGTATCAACCGTAGGAGGCCTTAACAGACTTACCTCTCTGCAATCCCATTTCGGACTCATGCAAATGGTTATCAGTGACAGATTCTGGGGTCTGTTTAGCCACACGACCGATATTTCCGTCAAACTGATCCATGAAACTGCAGTGAAATAATATTCCCTGTAACCACAAATAAATCAATCGTGGTATTTAACCAACGAACGGCAAATAGAGCGTCTGGCTCCGGATGATACAGACTCGACTATTTGTATAGAATTAGTGCTGTCGCTCTCAAAATTTATTACAACCAATGCTCAAGCTCACAACCGAACTTTTGACTGTGCGAAACACAATCACTTCCACAGCTTTCGAAATTATCGACCCCATCTTCGAACCGCCGCTGCAACATGTGTAATAAAATTGGCAATTTGTTTTGCATTATTCAGCACAAAGCTTAAGGGAGTGTGAAAACTTGTTAACTCTGAATGGCGCAGTGAATTTAATTTTTGTGGAAGAGCGATTTTCGAGCCCCGAGCGATTTTCGGCTTTAGAGGGTTGTAAATGTAAGCGAAACAATGAATTTGAATTATCCCGTGTCCATCAATATTACACACGTCCAACCCTCGCTTACCCACCCCTAGCCGTCTCTTAATAATCTTAATCAGGCCGAACTTTCCCGCTTCCAACTTTTCGAATTAATCGCGGCCCTTGATTGCGCCTTGTCTTCCGAATTTAAGACCGTTTTGATTAATTGGGCCACAAAGGGCTTATCAATTTCGCCGCTCCCGTAGTTGGTATTCGAAGCCGGACTTACGTGTTGGCCAGCGCAACTGGTGGGATGACGGTTTTTATCTTGATGTTCGACGTGTCGGCGAGATCGGCGATGGTGAGGGTCACTTTGGGGTTCCGGGTTCCGGGCTTGGGGTAGCGGAGGGAGCGGATGTCGGGGTAGAGGCGGCCCTCGTTTGCAGAGCCGTACCAGGGAAAGCGCAGCTCTTCGACGAGGCTGTCGTTGAACGAGGCGAAGACGAGGAGGAGTCCGTCTCTGGAGAGCCAGAGGGCGCTGTTGCTGCCCAGGATCTCCTCTGCAACGAAAAATGAATAACGATACAACAAAAGGTTAAAGATTGCTTGGCACTGAAACGGGGACTAACAAAAGGAATTTACTTGTTAAAAATTTATAGTCGACTTGCTTGTTGGCAAGATTATGATGAAATTTTGCAACATTGATTACACGTCTACTCAAGTTAAATTTACTTAGCGCAATATTGGTATCAAAACCTCTAGGGGGGTAACCTCCATCAGTTAGGAAAGAAATACATTTTTAAAAATTTCGTTCTACTGACTCTTAACGAAAAATATGAACGTTATAAAATGGAATCCAAAGAGGGCAGCATTTTTTAACTTCAACTAGTTATAGAAAAATATTTATTTTAGAACCATTATTTGTTTAAGTATCTTAACGAAAATAACAAAATTAACACAAATTTGAACTAAGACAAACTCTTTGTTTTTGAGTGATTTGGCGTACGATAATCTTTTCCTTAAAGACAATTTTGCTCCTTTATGGTGATAGATATGACAGAAAGGAGTTCAGATTTGCGATTTTGATAAAGTTTTGTTAAGAATGCTATATTTTCGAATTGATTTTTCCAATTTAAAATTTTTGTTTAAAAATGGTGGAGGCGCCGGGACAACAAATTATTTAAAAACATTGTATTTTATTTTCTACAAAATTTTGCGAAATTTTCGGTAAGAGATATTTTATATTAAGGTAAGGAGGACCATAATTTTTTTAAGTATCTTAACGAAAATAACAAAATTAACACAAATTTGAACTAAGATAAACTCTTTGTTTTTGAGCGATTTGGCGTACGATAATCTTTTCCTTAAAGACAATTTTGTTCCTTTATGGTGATAGATATATGACAGAAAGGAGTTCAATTTGCGATTTTGAGAAAGTTTTGTTAAGAATGCTATATTTTCGAATTGATTTTTCCAATTTAAAATTTTTGTTTAAAAATTGTGGAGGCGCCGGGACAACAAATTATTTAAAAACCGGGTATTTTAGTTTCTAGAAAATTTTGCGAAATTTTCGGTCAGAGACTTTTTATATTAAGGTAAGGAGAATCAATATTTGTTTAAGTATCTTAACGAAAATAACAAAATTAACACAAATTTGAACTAAGATAAACTCTTTGTTCTTGAACGATTTGGCGTACGATAATCTTTTCCTTAAAGACAATTTTGCTTCTTTATGGTGATAGATATGAGAGAAAAGAGTTCAGATTTGCGATTTTGAGAAAGTTTTGTTAAGAATGCTATATTTTCGAATTGATTTTTCCAATTTAAAATTTTTGTTTAAAAATGGTGGAGGCGCCGGGACAACAAATTATTTAAAAACCGTGTATTTTATTTTCTACAAAATTTTGCGAAATTGTCGGTAAGAGATTTTTTTTATTAAGGTAAGGAGAACCATTATTTGTTTAAGTATCTTAACGAAAATAACAAAATTAACACACATTTGAACTAAGATAAACTCTTTGTTTTTGAGCGATTTGGCGTACGATAATCTTTTCTTTAAAGACAATTTTGCTCCTTTATGGTGATAGATATGACAGAAAGGAGTTCAGATTTGCGATTTTGAGAAAGTTTTGTTAAGAATGCTATATTTCCGAATTGATTTTTCTAATTTAAAATTTTTGTTTAAAAATGGTGGAGGCGCCGGGACAACAAATTATTTAAAAACCGTGTATTTTATCTTCAACAAAATTTTGCGAAATTTTCCGTAAGAGATTTTTGATATTCAGGTAAGGAGAACCATTATTTGTTGAGGTATCTTAACGAAAATAACAAAATTAACACAAATTTGAACTAAGATAAACTCTTTGTTCTTGAGCGATTTGGCGTACGATAATCTTTTCCTTAAAGACAATTTTGCTCTCTTATGGTGATAGATATGACAGAAAGGAGTTCAGGTTTGCGATTTTGAGAAAGTTTTGTTAAGAATGCCATATTTCCGAATTGATTTTTCAAATTTAAAATGTTTGTTTAAAAATGGTGGAGGCGCCGGGTTAACAAATTACTTAAAAACCATGTATTTTATTTTCTACAAAACTATGCGAAATTTTCGGAAAGAGATTTTTTTATATTAAGGTAAGGACAACCATTTTTTGTTTAAGTATCATTACGAAAATCACAAAATTAACACAAATTTGAACTAAGATAAACTCTTTGTTCTTGAACGATTTGGCGTACGATAATCTTTTCCTTAAAGACAATTTTGCTTCTTTATGGTGATAGATATGACAGAAAAGAGTTCAGATTTGCGATTTTGAGAAAGTTTTGTTAAGAATGCTATATTTCCGAATTGATATTTCCAATTTAAAATTTTTGTTTAAAAATGGCGGAGGCGCCAGGATAACAAATTATTTAAAAACCATCTATTTTATTTTCTACAAAATTTTGCGAAATTTTCGGTAAGAGATTTTTTATATTAAGGTAAGGAGAACCATTATTTGTTTAATATCTAAACGAAAATAACAAAATTAACCCAAATTTGAACTAAGATAAACTCTTTGTTTTTGAGCGATTTGGCGTACAATAATCTTTTTCTTAAAGAAAATTTTGCTCCTTTATGGTGATAGATATGACAGAAAGGAGTTCAGGTTTGCGATTTTGAGAAAGTTTTGTTAAGAATGCCATATTTCCGAATTGATTTTTCAAATTTAAAATTTTTGTTTAAAAATGGTGGAGGGTTAACAAATTATTTAAAAACCGTATATTTTATTTTGCTACAAAATTTTGCGAAATTTTCGGTAAGAGATTTATTATATTAAGGGAAGGAGAACCATTATTTGTTTAAGTATCTTAATGAAAATAACAAAATTAACACAAATTTGAACTAAGATACACTCTTTGTTTTTGAGCGATTTGGCGTACGATAATCTTTTCCTTAAAGACAATTTTGCTCCTTTATGGTGATAGATATGACAGAAAGGAGTTCAGATTTGCGATTTTGAGAAAGTTTTGTTAAGAATGCCATATTTCCGAATTGATTTTTCCAATTTAAAATTTTTGTTTAAAAATGGTGGAGGCGCCGGGACAACAAATTATTTAAAAACCGTGTATTTTATCTTCTACAAAATTTCGCGAAATTTTCCGTAAGAGATTTTTGATATTCAGGTAAGGAGAACCATTATTTGTTTAAGTATCTTAACGAAAATAACAAAATTAACACAAATTTGAACTAAGATAAACTCTTTGTTCTTGAGCGATTTGGCGTACGATAATCTTTTCCTTAAAGACAATTTTGCTCTCTTATGGTGATAGATATGACAGAAAGGAGTTCAGGTTTGCGATTTTGAGAAAGTTTTGTTAAGAATGCCATATTTCCGAATTGATTTTTCAAATTTAAAATTTTTGTTTAAAAATGGTGGAGGCGCCGGGTTAACAAATTATTTAAAAACCGTGTATTTTATTTTCTACAAAACTATGCGAAATTTTCGGAAAGAGATTTTTTTATATTAAGGTAAGGACAAAAATTTTTTGTTTAAGTATCATAACGAAAATCACAAAATTAACACAAATTTGGACTAAGATAAACTCTTTGTTTTTGAGCGATTTGGCGTAACGATAATCTTTTCCTTAAAGACAATTTTGCTCCTTTATGGTGATAGATATGACAGAAAGGAGTTCAAATTTGTGATTTTGAGAAAGTTTTTGTTAAGAATGCTTTATTTTCGAACTGATTTTTTTAATTTAAAATTTTTGTATGAAAATGGTGGAACACGTTTATTTTGTTTCCTACGAAATTTCAGGAAGAGATTTTATACTAAAATAAAAATTGAAATTTTAAAAACTAGGAAATGTTGGATTATTTTCCTTGATAGACGCTATATTTCGGTAAAAAATTAAATAATCTCACAATCTGAAAAATCAGAAAAACGAAAAATCCAGAAACTGAAAAAGCGAAAAATGAAAATGCGTATTTATAAACTCAAAACTACAGAATTGTAGAATCAGAAAAATGCTACTCGAGAAATTGAACAAAGGATATATTGAAAAATCAATTTTGGAACTTTTGAAGATTCTTTACTCTTTCGATTTTACTATTTTAATTTTTAGATTTTCCCAATTTTTGAGTTATTGAGTTTTTTTGGTTCTTCAGTAGTTCGATTCTTTTTGTATTACGAGTTTTTACTGGTAAATTTTTCGGTGTTTCAATTTTTGTTTCAATTTCTCGAATTTTCAGATTTTAGATTTTCAGTGTTACAATTTCGTACTTTTTCAATTTCCCAATTCGATCTTTCGTTCTCCAATTCTTCGATTTTCAGTTTTTCAATTTTTTGATTTTTAATTTTCCAACTTTTAGATGCTTGAGTTTTTAAATTTTAAGTCGAACAATTGAAGAACGGAAATATTGAAAAATCGATTTGGGAGTTGTGAAGATTCCGTAGTTTTTCGATTGTTCCGGCTTCCAGTTATTTCATTTGTCGATTTTTATTTAGCAATTTTTTTGACGTTTCGTTACGTTATGATTTTTGGTTTTTTATTCTTCTGTTTTTTGAATTTTAACTTCTGAAGTTTTTAACTATTTGTTTCAATTTTTCAGTTTTTGGTGTTTCAGTTTCTCAATTTTTCAATAGTTAAGGTTTTTCAATTTCATTTTTGTAATTTTTCACCTTTTAATTCTTCGATTTCTGATTTTTCAATTTTTTTAATTTTGTGACTGCAATTTTTCGATTTTTCTGTTTCCAGATTTTTCAGTTTTCCGATATTTTAATTTACAATTATATGCAGATTTTAGATCTTCAATTTTTCGAGTTTTCTACGTTTAATTTTGAATTTTTCCATTTTTAATTTTTTCAGTTTTTCAACAAAAAGAACAAATTTATTCACAATGTAATTGCGAGAAATTGAAAACTAGGAGATTTTGGATTATTTTCCCTGGTAGGCGTTACATTTGGGTGAAAAATTAATAATCTAACAATTTGAAAAATCGAAAAACAAAAAATCCAAAAACTGAAAAAGCGAAAAATTAAAATATATAGGGACAAATTAAACTCAAAAATTGAAAGTTTAAGTAGAAACACCTGAAGAACGGAAATATTGAAAAATGGATTTGGAGGTTTATGAAGATTCTGTAGTTTTTCGATTTTTCCGGCTTCCAGTTATTCTATTTGTCGATTTTTATTTAACAATTTTTTTGACTTCACGCTTTTTCGCTTTGCACTTTTTGATTTTTTAGTTTTTATTCTTCTATTTTTTGAATTTTCTGTTTCAATTTTTCGATTTGCAACTGTTCCGTGTTTGAATTTTTGGTTTTTCTGTTTTTGGTATTTCAGTCTCTCAATTTTTCAATAGTTATGGTTTTTCAAGTTCTCGATTTGTAATTTTACAATTTTTAGTTCTTCGATTTCTGATTTTTTAATTTTTCGATCTTCAATTTTCCAATTTTTGGATTTTTAATTTCCCAATTTTTCGATGTTTCAGTTTTTTGAGTTTTTGATTTTGTGACTGCAATTTTTCAATTTTTCTGTTTCCAGATTTTTCACTTTTTCGATACAATTATATGCAAATTTTAGATTTTCAATTTTTCGAGTTTTCTACGTTTAATTTTGAATTTTTCCAGTTTTTATTTTTTCAATTTTTCAACAAAAAAACAAATCTAATAAAAATGAAATTGTGAAAAAATGAAACTATGAGATTTTGGATTATTTTCCCTGATAGACGTTACGAAAAAGCGAAAACTTAAAATACATATCAGTACTCAAAACTCAAAAAATGAAAAATCAAAAAACTGCAATTTTTGACAATTCTTCAGTTTTTCAATTTTCTATTTCTGAATTTTTAGATTTTTCTAAATTTTCAGCTATTATTGCATTCGTCGATTTTTATTTAGCAGTTTTTCAATTTTATTTTCTTTCTATTTGCATTTTTTCATTTTTTAGTTTGTGTTTCTTCAGTTTTTCGATATTTTAATTTTAGAATTATATTTCCTTTTTTCGATTTTAATCCTTCAGTTTTTCAATAAAAAGAACATTTATTCTTACCAGAATTTTGAAAAATTGAAAACTAAGACATTTTGGATTATTTTCCCTGACAGATGTTACATTCTGGTAAAGTATTTAAGTATCTTAACACAGATAACAAAAACTAACAGAAATTTGAATTAACATTAGTATATAATTTTTATAGCGGTTTGATGTAAGATAATTTTTTCTTAAAAACAATTTCTGCCCCAGTATTTTGATAGATATGGTGAAAAGAATTTCAGATTTGTGATTTTGAGAAAGTTTTTGTTAAGAATGCTATTTTTTCGGGCTGATTCTTCGAATTTCAATTTTTTCTATAAAAATGGTGAAGGCGCCGGGACAACAAATAATATAAAAAACCTTTATTTTAGTTTCCACGAAATTTTAGGAAGATATTTTATACTAAAATCAAAAATTATTATTTATTTAACTATCTTAACAAAGATAACAAAAACTACCAGAAATTTGAACTAAGATTAATACATATATTTTTAGCAATTTGAGGTAAGATAATTTTTCCTTAAAAATAACTTTTTCTTTCGTATCTTGATATATATGACGAAAATAAAATCAGAGTTGTGATTTCGAGAAAGTTTTTGTTAAGAATGCATAATTGCGTTGCTTCCGTATCTTCATAGATATGACGAAAAAAGTTCGAATTTGTGATCTTGAGAAAGCTTTTGTTAAGAATGTTATATTTTCGAACTGATTTTTCCAATTTCAATTTTTTTTTATAAAAATGGTGGAGGCGCCGGGATAACAAATATTTTAAAGTACGTTTGATTTCTTACGATATTCCAGGAAGATATTTTATACTAACATAAAATTATTATTTATTTAAGTATCGTAAAAAAGATAACAAACCTAACGGAAATTTGAACTGAGATTGAGACCTAATTTTTTTAGCGATTTGATCTAAGATAATTTTTCCTTAGAAACAACTTTTGTTCTCATATCCTGATAGATATGAAGAGAGGAAGTTCAGATTTATGTTTTTGAGCAAGAGTTTGTTAAGAATGTTACATTTACGAACCGATTTTTCCAAATTCAAATTTTTGTATAAAAATGGTGGATGCGCCGGGACAACAAATAATTTAAAATGTACTTATTTTATTTTCTACGAAATTTCGGGAAAAGTTTCTATACTCAAATAAAAATTATTTACATTTGGAAACTGATTTCTCTAATTTAAAACTTTTGTATTAAAATGGTGGAGGCACCAGGAGAACAAATAATTTAAAAGACATGTATTTTATTTTCTACATAATTTTAATAGGAGATTTTATACTAACATAAAACTTATTATTTCTTTAGTTGTCTTAACAAAGATAATAAAATTAACGCGAATTTGAACCAATTTTTTTAGCGATTTCACGTAAGATAATTTTTCCTTACAACCAATATTTACTCCCGTGTCTTGATAGATATGATGAAGAGAAGTTCAGATTTGTGACCTCGAGAAAGTTTTTATTAAGAATACTGTATTTTCGAACTGATTTTTCCAATTTTTCTTAATTTAAAAAACATTTATTTTATTTTCTACGAAATTTCAGTAAGAGATTTTATATTAAGGTAAAAATCAATATTTCTTTGAGTATCTTAACGATAATAACTAAACTAGGAGAAATTTGGACTAAGATTAATACAATTTTTTTAGCCATTTGACGGAAGATAATTTTTCCTTACAAACAACCTTTACTATCGTATCTTAGTAGATATGATGAAGAGAAGTTCAGATTTCTGATTTTGAGAGAGTTTTTAAGAATGCTATATTATCGAACTAATTTTGCCAATTTCAATTTTTGTGTAAAAATGGTGGAAGCGCCGGGACAACAAATAATTTAAAAAATATTTAATTAATTTTCTACAAAATGTCAGTAAGAGATTTTATACTAACATAAAAATCCTTATTTTTTGAAGTATCTTAACAGAGATAACAAAACTAACATAAATTTCAAGTAAGATTAATAGACAATTTTTAGCGATTGGACATACGATAGTTTTTTCTTGAAAACAAGTTTTGCTCCTCTATGTTGATAGATATCATGAAAAGAAGTTCAGATTTGCATCTTGAGAAAGTTTTAGTGAAGAATGCTATATTTTCTAACGGATTTTTCCAACTTCAATGTTTTGTTTAAAATGGTTTAAGCGCTGGAACAACAAATAATTTAAAAACCATTTTTTTATTTTCTACGAAATTTCAGTAAGAGATTTTATACTAACATAAAAAATTGTTATTTCTTTAAGTCTCTTAACGAAAATAACAAAAGTAACATTTTTGAAGTTGAAATAAGATTAATACATAATTTTTAGCGATTTGACATACAATAATTTTTCCTTAAAAACTAATTTTGCTCCTCTATGTTTATACATATGACGAAAAGAATTCAGATTTGTGATCTTGAGAAAGTTTTTGTTAAGAATGCTATATTTTCTAACCGATTTTTCCAATTTCATACTTTCGTATAAAAATGGTGGAGGCGCCGGAACAACAAATAATTTAAAAAAGATTTAATTTACTTTCCACGAAATTTTATTAAGAAAATTTATATTAACATTCAAATCATTATTTCTTTATGTATCTTAAGGGAGATAACAAAACTAACATAAATTTCAAGTAAGATTAATAGATAATAATTATTAGCGATTTGACATACGATAGTTTTTTCTTGACAACAACTTTTGCTCCTCTATGTTGATAGACATCACGACAAGAAGTTCAGATTTGTAATCTTGAGAAAGCTTTTGTTAAGAAATTCATATTTTCTAGCGGATTTTTCCAACTACAATTTTTTGTTTAAAATAGTTTAAGCGCTGTAACAACAAATAATTAAAAAAACATTCATTTTATTTTCAGCACATTTTGAGTAAGAGATTTTATATTAAGGTAAAAATCATTGTTTCTTTAAGTATCTTAACGAAATTAACAAAACTGCCTCAAATTTGTTTGATTGAGCGTGTTTTACATCTCCTTACCTTCGTACAACCAGTCCGGAACCCCGTGGCTGACCACTCCGGGGACCGCCGTGCTGGTTATCCTGTATCCCGTGTGCGAAGTGGGACTCTTCCTGTAATAGATGTCGTAATCTTGTACCATTACTAAGCCGTGCCCTCTCGGCGCCCATTCCGCTAAAAGCAGGTAGGGATGCTCTTCCGTTTCCGGCATGGGACGCAGCGGGAAATCGTTCCTGTAAATAAGTTATACGAGGCCGTTAGAGGCATTCGGCGTCGATTATATCCTTAATAAAATTTTTAGTCCGCCATAAAACGCCACTCACCCTGTCTGTATATCGTAGATCGTGTACTGCGCCAGGTACGAGTGCCGGAACAGCTTCTGCACGTTCTGGGCTAGCAGGAGGTACCTCTGGTCCGGCGACAACGAGAACCTCGCCGGATTCAGCCGCAACTGGAGCATAAAAAGCGAAGAGGCTCGAAAATGGATGAATAATTCACCGGCAGGAGACAAATTGTCCGGAAACACGACGACAACACGGATTCTCGTTACGAGAAAATTTGCATAATATCTGATGGGACTTACAGACACCTACACTTCGGCTGGCTTTATAATAACGGGCTTTGGGGCTTTATTTAAAAGGTATGAAGAGCTCGCCGCCTCGGCTCGATATTCAATTATTAGTTTGGGATACTTACAAAAGTCTGATTGGACATCAACGTGCGAACTGATAGGTTCGAAGCTTGCATGACGCTGATGCCGCCCCATTGGTCTTTGTAAACGAGCTCCGAGTCTGAAAGAAAAACGAAACAGAAATGAGGGAAATAGAATTAACGTGTTCTATATGGTGACTGCGCCATTTTCGGAATTGCGTCGTAGTAAAAGGTTAAATTAAGGCGGATTCATATTCCACACTTGCAAGAGTAGGGTAGCTCTATTTGCATGTGTGAACATTAATTATATATTATAACTAAGCTTGAGTAGGTACCTTTTTGATAATGTTCACACAAAATTTCTCATAACTATAAAATATGTAAATAACGAATTCATTGCACATTTTTTGCTCGTGAACGTATTCAATAAAGAACACGTTGCTGTAAATACTGTTAAAAATGATGTTTCAGCAATGCTTTGAAATCTTGCAGATGCGTTAAAGTTATTGTAAGCATGGTACATTTTTAATCAAGCATTCTTGGTCGTGTTTTAAATCCAACCGTGAAGTATTTTTGGTAGTTCTATTTGTTTTTAAATAATCTTCTAAGATATTACTTTATTTTTCAAATATTTTAGAATGTCGTGAAAATTTTTTTCGTTTTACGTTTCTCCCATTATTTAATTCATAGTTTTACTAATCTACTTATTTTAATTCAGTATATTCCCGTTCCAGTAATTCGTCAAACATCGTTCCTCATTCCAAAGAAAACCGAAGAACACACATTTTTACAATAAAAAAAATGTATTACAACTTTAAACAAATCAAGCTTTATTAAAAAAAATCTCTTTTCTCGAGTCATATTGCACCAGAACTTTCTCGACTCAATTATTTTCAGCGCTTCCAGTGTAAATAAATTAAAAAATATACTTTTCTCGCCCCTGAAATACATTCCATTTAATTCTGCTTCTTCCACAAACTAAAAAATTTGATGTTGAGAAATTTTACTATATTGTGATAAGCTCTACGGAGTAAAAACAATATAGGAAGTACCAGCCACATTGTCAGAGAAAAGTTGGGGCCCCGAGAAGTTTTCATATTCTTAAAAAAAGAGAGTTGGGACCCCTGAGAAGGTTAAAAGTTCTTAAAAAAAAGACAGGCAGGACCCTGAGGTTAAACCTTCTTTAAAAAAAAATAGTTGAAGCCCCTGAGACGGTTTTTCATTCTTAAAGTAAAAGGCAGTCGGAACCTCTGAGAAGGTTCAAACTTTAAAAAAAAAGACAGTCGGGACCCTTGAGAAGGTTAACCTTCTTAAAAGGTAAGACAATTGGGGCCCACGAAAAGGTTTTACATTAAAAAAAAGACAGTCAGGACTTCTGAGAAGGTTAAAGCTTCTTAAAAAAAAAAAGTCGGGTCAGGTCAGGTCAGGTCATCCCTGAGAAGGTTTAACCTTCTTTAAAAAAGATAGTTGAGACTGTTTTTCATTCTTAAAGTAAGGCAGTCGGGATCCTTGAGAAGGTTTAACCTTCCTTAAAACAAAGACAGTTGGGACTCCTAAGAAAGTTTAACCTTTTTTAAAAAAAGACAGTCGGGACCCCTAAGAAGGTTTAACCTTGTTTAAAAAAGACAGTCGGGATTCCTGAGAAGGTTTAACCTTCTTCAAAAGATAATGGTTGGAGCCCCTCATACGGTTTTTCATTCTTAAAATAAAAGGCAGTCGGAACCCCTGAGAAGGTTTAATCATCTTTAAAAAAGACAGTCGGGACTCCTGAGAAAGTTCAACCTTCTTTAAAAAAAAAGACAGTTGGGGCCTCTGAGAAAGTTTCATCTTCTTAAAAAAATACAGTTGGGACCTCTGAGAAAGTTAAAACTTCTTTAAAAAACAGACAGGCGAGACCCTGAGAAGTTTAGATTTTCTTAAAAAAAAGACAATCATGACCCCTGAGAAGGTTAAAACTTGTTTAAAACAAATACAATCGGGTCAGGTCAGGTCAGGTCTCGTCAGGTTATCCCTGAGGAGGTTCAACCTTCTTAAAAAAAACAGTCGCGACCCCTGAAAGGGGTTAACTTTCGTTATAAAGGAAGACCCCTGAGAAGGTAAAAACTTCTTTAAAAAAAGACAGTCGGAATTTCTGAGAAGGTTTAATTTTCTTTAAAAAAATATGGCTGGGACCACTGAAACGGATTTTTATTGTTAAAATAAAAGGCAGTCGTGATCCTTGAGAAGGTTTAACCTTCTTTAAAAAAATATGGTTGGGGCCCCTGGGACGGATTTTCATTTTTAAAGTAAAAGGCAGTCGGGATCCCTGAGAAGGTTTAACCTTCTTAAAAAAAAAGACAGTTGGGACCCCCAAGAAGGTTTAACCTTCTTAAGAAAAAGACAGTTGGGACCCCTGAGAAGGTTAAACTTCCTTTCAAAAAAATCATTTGGGGACCCCTGAGAAAGTCACATTATTTGGTGTTCCTGGGAAGTTTTTACATTCTTAAAAAACACTTGGGGCCCCTGAGAAGGTTTCATATTGTTAAAAAAGGACAATTGAACCCCTGAGAAGGTGTCACCTTGTTTAAAAAAAAAGACAGTTGGGAACCTCGTACTGGTTTTACATTCTTAGAAAGACAGTCGGCACCAGTGAGAAGGTTCACACTATTTTAAAAAAAGTCAGTCGGAATGTCTTAGAAGGTTTAACCTTCTTCAAAAACACAATCGGCACCCCTGAGAAGGTTTAACATTCTTTAAAAAAAGATAGTCGAAACCTCTGAGAAGGTTCAGCCTTCTTTAAAAAAATATGGTTGGTACCCCTGAGACAGATTTTCATTTTTAAAGTAGAAGGCAGTCGGGATCCCTGAGAAGGTTTAACCTTCTTAAAAAAAAGACAGTTGGGACCACTGAGAAGGTTCAACCTTCTTTAAAAAAAAAGACGGCCTGGGCCCCCTGAAAAAGTTTAATTAGTTGGAGTTCCCGAGAAGTTTTTACAATCTTAAAAAAAACACTTGGGGTACCTGAGAAGGTTTCATATTGTTAAAAAAGTACAATTGAAGCACCTGAGGTTTAACCTTCTTTAAAAAAAGATAGTCGGAACTTCTGAGGCCCCTGAGACGTATTTTCATTTTTAAAGGAAAAGGGCAGTCGGGGTCGCTGAGAAGGTTTAACATTCTTAAAAAAAGACAATCGGGACCCCCAAGAAGGTTTAACCTCCTTAAAAAAAGACGGTAGGTACCCCTGAGAAAGTTCAACCTTCTTTAAAAAAAAGACAGTTGGGGGCCCCTGAGAAAGTTTCATTATTTGGAGTTCCCGGGAAGTTTTTACATTTTTAAAAAACATTTGGGGTCCCTGAGAAGGTTTCATATCGTTAAAAAGGTACAATTGAACCCCTGAGAAAGTGTCACCTTCATTAAAAAAAAAGACAGTTGGGAACTTCGTAAAGGTTTTACATTTTTTAAAAAAAGACAGTCGACACCCCTGAGAAGGTTCAAACTTCTTTAAAAAAAGACAGTCGGGATCTCTGAGAAGGTTTAACCTTCTTTAAAAAAAGGACAGTCGGGACCCCTGAGAAGGTTTAACCTTCTTAAAAAAAGGCAGTTGCGATCCCTGAAAATGTTGGGGCCCCACAGAAAGTTTCATCTTCTTAAATAAAAGATGTTTGGGGTTCCAGGGAAGTTTTTGTATTCTTAAAAAAAACACTTGGGGTCCTTGAGAAGGTTGGGACCCCCGAGGAGATTTCACATTCCTAAAAAAAACCGTTTGGGGTCCCCGAAAAGGTTTGCAAGATTTCAGAGCATTCGGTTTTGCATTTTGAAATAAAATTGTAAAATTTAGTTTTGAATTTTTCCCAAAAAATCTTGATATCTAGGGTAAAACTTAACACGGATTCTTAAATCGTAGTATGTAATTCTATCATCAGGCAAAAATTGTAAAATGACATCATCAATTTTTATGAGATATGAGAGAAATAAATTTTATTTAACTATGGCTTCACTTCCTTCACTCATCCTAAGAAGCTTTCAGATCCTTAAAAATCGTTTCAATTTTTTTTAAAATCCTTCCAGATCGCTTTAGAATCTTTCAGATCTCTTCGGGCTGTTTCAGATTCTTCCAGTTGTTTCTAGATTCTTTTAGATTCGTCTAGATTCGCTGAGATTCTATCAGATTTCTTCCGATTCCTTCCAATCCTTTGTGATTTCTTCCAATTCCTTCCGATCGTTTATGATTCTTTTATTTTCTTTGCGATTCGTCCTTTCGAAGTAGTCAAGATTCTTACAAATTTTCCAGTTCTATTCAGATCATTGCAGATCCTTACCGATCATTTCAGATTCCTGCAGACTGCCAAATTCTTCCAGATTTTTCTAGATTCTTCGAGTTTCTTCCAAATTTTTTTATTTTCTCACAGATTCTTTCAAATTCTCTCAGATTTCCTCAGATTGTCACAGGTTCTTCGGATTCCTCCAGACTCCTTCAAACTCCTTCAGATTTCTTTAGATTCCTTCAAGTTCCTTCAGGCTCATTCAGATTCTTTCAGATTATTTTATATTCTCTCGGATTCTCTCAGAATATCAGAGTATTTCACCTTTCACATAGTTTCAAATTCTTTCTACAATATTTCAAATTTTTCCAGATGACTTCACTCCCTTGCACTCTTGCAGTTTCGTCTAGATTTTTCTAAATTCTTCTCGATTCTTTTGGACTCCTTAGAATCTTTCAGGTCCTTACAGATCGTTTCAAAATTTTTCAAATCTTTCCAGATCGCTTTAGAATCTTTTAGATCTCTGCAGGCTGTTTCAGATTCTTCCAGTTGTTTCTAGATTCTTTTATATTCGTCTAGATTCGCTGAGATTCTCTCAGATTTCTTCCGATTCCTTCCAATCTTTTGTGATTTCTTCCAATTCCTTCCGATCGTTTGTGATTCTTACATTTTCTTTACGATTCGTCCTTTCGAAATCGTCAAGATACTTTCAAATTTTCCAGTTCTATTCAAATCATTGCAGATCTTTACAGATCATTTCAGATCCCTGCAGACTGCCAAATTCTTCCAGATTTTTTTGGATTCTTTGAGTTTCTTCCAAATTTTTTTATTTTCTCACAGATTCTTTCAAATTGTCTCAGATTTCCTCAGATTGTCACAGGTTCTTCGGATTCCTCCAGA